CAAGTCACAAATTTTTGGAATTATAATCGAATTATAAAAACTGTATTGTAGGAGAATCTAAACTGAAAAAAATGACTAGAATGCCACCAATAATAATCATGAAATTGTGGAGAGATTTCTTTTTTTTATGAGGGGGAGGGGATCAGGATGGAGTTACATAAACATCTTAAATAAACTACATTAATTAAAATGTCACTACCTACCAGAGTTATATGAGGAATAAGGAAGACGGAAGCCGAAAAATATATGAAAATAAAAAAAAATTAATGAAAGCATCTATAATAAAATAAGGATGGAAAGATTTAAACTGCTTCATCTTGTCCGTCGAATATTTGAGTACAGATTGAGACGATTTTCTTAAAAAGAAGCTCTGCATGGAACGTAACTTTAAAAAATATAGACATTGCTATTGGATTAATTTTAGAATGTTGTATAAACTATACAACCAATGATTTGTATGCAGCTATCAAAGAATTCTAAGCAGTTTAAGTAGGAGTCGCTTGGAAACCCTCTTGAAGATGCCATCTAAGGAATACTTCGATAAAGAATATAAAGAAAGGAAAGCTTGGGCAAAAAAAAAAAGTTTGTTGCTTAAAAACTGGTAGAATGACTTAGTGAAGACTGTTAATTTTTGTATGAAATGCAAGGTATATTTGTGTAGTATTTTGTTAGTTTCTAGTTCAGTACCTATCTACAGAACACTAGAAACGTGCTTGACCTCAAAAGATTAACCATGTATTAAAATTGTTGAAATATATAGAAACCATTTCAGTATAAACAAGGTTTAAACTAGCTGGCAATCTCAAATTCGTCATACTTATAGTTATTTAGAAAAATAAACCAGAATCACAATTTATACACATAATAGCACAAATAAGGCTGATATTATTGAACCAACTGATTCAATCTCAATATTCTCATGCCAAGAAGTTGTCTACCAATTTACTATTAATATCAAGATGGAAAATGATCAGGGATATGAACTAAATCAAGATTCATTAAAAATTACCATTGAAGCAAAATCTCATCAGAAATTAAATACTTGAAAATTGAACTATTGCCAGTGTAAAAGATGTTAATATGAGAGGTTAATACTCTCCCCTAAAATAATCAGGGAAAAAAGTATAATGATGATTTGATTTTCAAAAATAGGAGATCTTTGAGCAACTTAGATGGAATTACTAGCAAGAGCTGCGAGAAAAGAACATGGAGGCTGTGAACAAGAAAGGTAATAAAGAGAAATACTAAGGATGAAAATAAATCTAGGAGATTTCTATCTTTATTTAAATCTTAAAACTTACAAAGGGATATTTTATGATTGTGCGATTAAATGAATTATAATTTTGTGGAAGGGTGGCAGCTTTCACTTTAAACATGGGTTTATTGAGGATAGTAATTTTATTTTCACATTTTTCAACACTCTCTCAACTTTGAAAATATTTTATTATTTAGAAGAAATTCAGTGGTTTCATTTGTAAGACAAAAGGGTTGCTTTGATGTTGAAGTGGTAAGATAGGTTGGAATCAGGAATTTGTTAAAATTGGATTACTAAAAACAAGTTAGAAATAGTCACCAAAATACATTCATGCTAAGTTTGCCAATCATTGTTGAACTTGAATTGGATGTGTGCTGGTTTTATAAAAAGTTTTGTCTTGAATTGTACATTAAAGGTGTAAAACGACTTTTGCATTACTAAAAAAATCATTTAGTGTAAATTATTTTTTATTAATCAAATAAGCATTTGAAACTTCACATTATCATTGCTTGGCTGCACCACACATAAAAACAAAACCAGTCAATAGATTAGACAATTTTCAAGTTTATTTGCACAAAAAAAAAACTAAATTAATTTTCTTTAAAGAATGATGTTTAATTAAAGTTTTAATGTTAAAACTATCCCAATTTTAATAATGAAATAAATGTCTGTGCCACAATCTCTGAAGCCTATTTATTAATTTAATGATTGGTTGTTAGTGGAAAGAGATAATTAATAGATGTATTGTAATATTTCAAACTTCACCATGGTAGTGTTTTGTGTAATTTTTCTTCCTTTATTTTATTTTTTTATTAAACAATGATTTTATAAACTCGAATAGAAACAACATAGAATTTAATAAAATTAATCAGATTCAGAGCATTTACTATTTTGTTGAATAATCTATCATTTTCAATCAATTAATTGATAGCAAAGGTGAATTCCTCTTTGTTGTTTGTAGGTAAATTTTTTATAATTGTAAAAGTAATGAAGATCTATATTTTATGTATAATAAAAACAATTAAAATTCTGATGTGTTCATACAATTTTCTCACATTTAAAGTGAAGTGATAAAGACAGATTTTTTTTAAATGCTTTATTTAAAAAACTTAAAACTCAGATAAAAAGTAAAGTGCAAATTGTTAGCAAGCAAGGAGTTCAATGAAGGTTTTTTGTAAAAAAAAATTATTCTGAATAATTTCATTATTTGATGTTAATCAATTTAATTATACTATATCTATTTTTATATGCTTCCAAAAAAATTTAGTTGAAGAATTTTACAAAAATTAGGATATTTTTAAAACTCTAATTTAAACTACTGAAGTTAATTCTATTTAGCCTATCAAAAATACAAAATAAAGAAAAAAAATACCATTGCTTAATGGTAATTGGACTCCTTCAATATATTGATACTTCCCTGCTTATGTTCATTTAATTACATTTTTAATGATTGTATATAAAAATTCTTGTGTATTCTGTACACTTTTAAATTAATAGACCTATTTTCTACTATTCAATCAAATATTGTTTGTTTTGTTACAATATACAACTATACAGCTATTGCGAACTGAATACAACTATTTCATAATTTAATTTCTTAGTTTGTGATTTTTGTATATGATTTTAAAAAACGGTATGTAAGGAATATTAAACTTTCTTTTTATTAGGGTAAATAACTAGTTATGGACACCCTTAAGCCAATTTGTTTTGGTTATCAACACCTAACACGTTATCGATCCTTTTTTAAATGATGTCATGAGATATTTTTGTTGCTCCCCGTGTAAAGAATAAGTATCTATCCTTATCCAACCACAAAATGATTTTGTCATATTTTTTACACATTTTTTAATTTAAGATCGTTCTGCTTGACAAGTTATGGTCACTTCTACTAGTTATGGACTCCTTAAAAACTAGTTGTGAACACCCTTTTACTTACCTTTATATTCATTGAAAAACATGAAGTTTTATGAAAAATGATAAAACTACTTCCACTAAATTTATTACAAATACTTTTTATTTTGTTTATCTAATTTTGTAAATATTTTATAAACTAGGTTTATCAAATAAATAAACAATAATGCGCTCTTTTTACATAAAGGTCTAAAATTAAACTCTATTTTAGGAACATTTTAGTTATACAGTTTTCAACCAGCTGCTTTATAGTACGTTCAATCTTTCTCTTCTCTGTTTTTTTAATTCCTTCTATTTTCCATTCTTCTCGTTTTTCATAAAATTTTCCTATCTAGCAGAGATATATCTCTCTCGCTCACATATGCATTAGATGCCGTTACAGATTCAGAAGTATGCTGTGAAAATAGAGGATGTGTCTTGAGTAACTCGTGGTGCCATCTTTCTCCATACATATTATTTTTAAATTTGGTTACTCTATTTTTTGTTTTTTGTATTATTACCTCTTTAACGCTCAACAGTAAGACAATCTTATGCCTAGGAAATCCTTTTCTCGCTCATTCCAGGATCCATTTCACCAACATTTCATTCTTCCTGTCCCTTTTAATTTCCTAATTAGTGTTGCTCTAAGAATCTGACACTTGAGTGCAACTGATTTCACTGACATCTTCGATGTCCTCTATTGCTAGAGCGACTTGCTCTTCATCGTAAGTATTTGAGTTATGTGGCATGATTCCTAGAGTAAATAAAAATAAATAAAAAAATTATATAAAAAATGTATATTTTTAAAAATCATTGTACATTAAATCCCTGAATAGTTAACTATATTCATTTCAAACAATATATCAAAACTTCTTCTTCTTTGTCTTCCTCACAATGCCATTTCTAGCGTCGAGGAGATATCAAAAATTTGTTCATTACTTTAGAGGTGTGTCCATAACTAGTCAAGTCATACCTGTTTCTAATTTGGACACCCCTGACCATAACTGGTAATCATTAACAGATTAAACTTTGGATTATACTAAAATATTCAGGTGTAAAATGGTAATATTTTCTAATTAAAAATGAGAATAAAAATTACAATTACTTATGGACAGGGGTGTTCATAACTAGTTGTACCACTTTTTCTTCAACTAGTAATGAACACATTAACTTAAATTAAATAAAAAAAGTGTTAACAAAAATAATTTACTATGAATACTTACAAAAACTATGAAGAATGTGTACATACCTTCAAAGTTGTAAAATAATTTATCTGTCTGGAGCAATACTATTAAGAAATCAATTTCATGAAAGGCTACTACTACAAAAAATTGGTGTTTTTCAAATAATTATGTTGAATTTTGAAACACTTGTCACTATCCTGAGCTGCCAAGAAATAATGAAGGGAAAGAAAGAGTGGTAGTTGGGGTAACAATAATCAACAAAACTCTTCTGTTTCAAGTTTACCTGGTACTTATTTTTAGCAATACAAATTAAGGATGTTCATTACCAGTAGAGTGTCCATAACTAGTCATTTACCCTATTATTAACAATAAATATTTATCCATGTATTACTCTTACCATGTACAACTCTTTTTTATAATTATTGTTTTGTTTTAATCTACACATTCATATTGTTACTTCTAAGTCAAAAACATATTACAATAATATAATGTTGAGTTATTGGTAAAAATATATAAGAAATGTGGATGTACAGACCGCTCTAGATTCAAGAATTTAAAGCAATCAATCTTCTAATGATATTGTTTTAAATTTTAATTTAATTAGTAACAACATAGTATTGACATTTCTTTTGTTAAGATGATTATGATAATTAATACGTTATATGGTTTAGGGAAAACAATGAACTATCCACTGAAGAAAATGATTGGATCAAAGAAACAACAGAAAAAACATATTCTATTCTAAAAGATACACCCCCAGATGGAGAAGAATTTCTAGCTGTTGCTAAGAATATGATAGTGGTAAGATTAATTAAAGAAGAATTAACAATTGATAATATTTTTTTTAATTTAATGTTTGATTTTCATTTTTTACTTATATTAATTTGCTTTAAATATTTTTTAAATATCATGAAAAAGAAAAATTTGTTATAGTTTATATTAATTTCATGGAGTTTCTAGTGGCGTAATTTGTTAAAAATTGAAGTAAATTCATAATTTGCACAAAAATATAATTGAGGTTCCCATATGAACTTGTTAACTTTCTTGAATTTTATATATTAATCATGCATGAGATATTGTTACCCATCAATTAAACAATAGAAGTTTGTTGAGGATACAGTAAAATATGTTTTTATTTTCTATCTCTCATCTCATCTTATTTTAATTTTTTGAGTTTTTATTTCAACTACGTCATCAGTATGTCATCGGTATTGCTATTTCATTACTAATGCAAGCCATTAAATGACTCATTCATTTAATTAAGTATTTATTAGTCAAAGTAAAAAAAAAATCCTTAGTGATTAAATAACAATCTAATAGTAATATACTTATTAAACACATAAAATATTAAACTCAGTTGTATCTATCAAATAAATTTCTACCTAATGAATTATTAATATGAAGATTGAATAAATAAAATTTAATAAAAACAAAGAAAGAAAATTAAGTAAATAACAAAAAAGAAATGAAAAAGTATCATTGGAAAAAAATAGATTAAGAAAACCACACCTTTGAAAACAAACATAATTAAGAATTATAATTATAAACATAGATAATTGAAATGAACATATAAGAAAAATGTTTCAACTTATCTATAATATATCTCTATATAATTTATTTATTAAATGAGCAATTTACATTCCTCTAAAAAAAATACCCTGAAAATAATCTTACCACATCCTAGTGGTCAATAAATGAACAAAATGAAACAATTATACTATTCTTTTTGAAATTTATAGCTAATGTCATTGTGTTAAAGTTGAAAACAATCAACTGACATTTTTATATAAATGAGTTTTATTATATTTATCTGTCTATTCCTGAACCAAATTTACTCTTCAGAACTGACAAAATTGTGAAATTATCACTGTTATTTTCAAATATTTCATTTGATTACTTATATCTTCTACCTGTTAATTTCAAATAATTAATTGGTTCAAATTCATTATAAATTAGTTTACTGTGGATTAAATGTTTCTTATAACAAATATATGTAGGTCAGTTCCCTGTGAAATTTTGATCCTCTGACCAACATGAATTGCTTGGTTTTCAGCATGTCATTGGCAGTACTATGACAACAGTGAAATTTAATTTTTGAAATCTCGACTTTCATGTGATAATAATTTGAGCAACTCAAGTTTAAATTAAAAAAAAAAAAATCATAATTATTCAAAATGAACATCCAGAGTTCCAGATGAGGGGACACTTTCTTCAATTTATATTTTCTTAAACAAAAATGGGTCTGCCTAGCTTTATTTACTTATAAACTGATTTAATTTTACATAAATAATTGAAAATAGAAATTCATTCTGAATTATAAAATATTTATTGTTTAATACTTAATGGCCTCTTTGTATAACTTGTTTTTATTGATTAAAATTATGGGCCTATGGAAATATATCTCAGTACATATCAAATAGATTGTTAATGTACTTGAGTCTATTATAATAATTTCAGTGTAGCAAAATTCATATTTTTCAAATTTATTTTGATATTTTTTTAAATATCTTTAGTTTTGAATCAATTCACTGTATTAAGCCACATAATTCTGTAATACAAGTAAGGCAATATTTTGTTAAAGTATAGTGATGAATTTAATGGTAATTTTTCTATGGGGTGCTAATGCTATATTTTTTAATTGCCTAACTCTGGTCTGAATCGCTTTGTTTTGAACTGAGAAGGAAATTTAAAATTTTTATATCCTGATCAGTCCATTTAATTTTTGTATAAATAAATGTAAAAATAAAATCTCATAATGTCCAATCAGTTATTTTCCAAGGAATTTTTTTTCTGCGATGGTACAGAGAGAAGATGAATGGAGTAACTGGAAAAATGAGGGCTGCCCTGCGTTGAAGAAGGTTACCCAGGAAAATGAACTCTCGAGACACCCAGCTGTTGAGGATAATCTTGGGCAGAGGTCGTTTTCCATTCTTACGGCTCAAGCTACCACAGGGGCTGACACCATCTTTGTACCTTCGTGAGTGTCTACTTGATAAGGACTCAAGTACAATATGCAAGTTATAGGTGTAGTATAAGGAGTATTGTGTCTGTGGATTAGGAATAAGGAAAGAATAAATTGTGTAATTAATTATTCACTTTTTGTTAATCTCTAATTAGTGTTTGGTGTACTTGGTGGTTATTGACTTAGTGCTCAAGATATTCAAGATGTTTTGACTCCTTTTTTATTTTTATATTGTACAAATGCAGAGACTGGACATGTTGTTTAAATATGTCCTAGTAATATATTTTTAAATCTGAATAATTTCCTTTAAAATATTGGAGTATGTTAAGCTTCCTTCAAACAAACTTCCTTAGACTATAAGGTGTTTATTTTGATATTTAAAATGTTTTAATGGCAGTAGAATGCGATAAAACAATTTTCTTTCCTTTAAAAATTAACATAATGGTTTTTGTTAATTGTACTTTTATCATCATTTTATTGTGTGTAAATCTAAATCTGTTTTCACTTAACTAACACTCCTTCAAGAAAACACATTGGAATAACTAGAGAAATTATCTTCTTGTGTGATGTATTCTGACCTGCATATTTATTTTTAATCCATATAAACCTACTTAAATATTGTTAAAAGAGATGACAATTTGGTTGTTTTTCTTTTTGGCCTCAAAAGAAAAATATAGTTGAATAAAAGTTAATGAACGAAAATTTGAATGTTTGTCATGAAAATTCTACTTACAGTAAGTTCTTTAAAAGTTTTATAAGCCAGGAGAATGATGTGATAAACCAAATCAGGTATTATTATTGGACTATTGACCATCAGTATAAACACTCATAGTTGTTAATATTTTTTTTAATTTTAATAGTTCTATCACATAAAAACCTGCTATTTCACCACATTTGATTCACTTATTGAAATTAAATTTGTATGCTTTCTGTTTTTCAATATGGTTACCTCCTTTTATATCTGACATTTCCCAACCTTGTTAAAATGATCTACTATATGTATATGTATATGAGATTTTACATTATAATATATATTCACTCACTCTCAAACGCACTGCAGTCCATATAGGACCTTGGACTCCATCAACAGCTTGTTTCATTTGACTCTGTTTGCAGTCCGGCTTCTTCAGCAATGTACACCTAAAGCCTTCAAGTCTGCCTCGACATCATCCAGCCATCACAGTCGAGGTCTCCATTTTTTTAAGGATTCTACCAGATTCCATTCTCTCTATATGTCCCAACCACTTTAATTGGCCCAGCTGGATACAAGAGACGATGTCTCTCTTTCCAAACATCTCCTGCAGCTACTTATTTGTTCTAATTCGCCAGGCATCTGCCGCTTTCACTGCACTGAATATTCGACAATGAACTTTTCTTTCCCAGACTTTCAAAACTCTCTTATTTTCTGCTGTTAAGGTCCATGATTCGCTTCCATATGTGACAGTCAGCCTTACTATCTTGTTATAGATTAAGATCTTTGCCTTTCTTGAGAGGTTCTTGAACTTGAGGGTCTTCTGCGAACCCCATAGGCAGTGTTTCCCAATAGCGATTCTGGCTTTTATATATTGGCTTCTGTCAAATTATCGGAGGATATCAAGCTACTGAGATGCCTGAATTCTGCAAAAATTGTAATTCGTAGTAATCCAGTTGAGGGAGCGGAGTAGCTCAGTGGTAGGGCACTGAGCTTCCAATGCAAAGGTCCCGAGTTCGAACCCCGGCTCATGGCAGAAAATTTATTTATCTGTTTCATTGGCCGTGGGGCGACCTTGGGTCAGGAGTCCCTCCTGGGGCACACCCAGCCTCTATAAAGTGGGTACCCTTAATTAAATAATTAATTAGGAGGGAAAACCTGGCAGTTGAGCGTGATCACGGTCAAATCACCTCCTTGCACAACCGTGGACCTAGAAACAGTGCTTTCCCTAAATAGCACTGAACCCCAGACCCTTTATGGGTTGTAGTGGTACAGGTTTTTAATCCAGTTGGATTGGATTGTCTGCTCTTCACCTTACCTTTTTGCCATCTGCATATAGGTTGTTTTCTGGACATTAATCTCAAGCCCAAGTTCCCTTGCAGCTCCCAGGAACTGCTCCAGAGCACCTGATAAAGCTTGAATTGTTCTTCCTGAGATTACTGTGTCATCTGCAAAAGCCAGATGTGTCAGTCTGTTGAAAATAGTACTACATGGATTTGTTCTTATTTTATGAACTGCGGATTCTAATACAAGTTTAAAGAGCAAAAGTGACAATGGGTCACCTTGAGGCAATCCTTTCTCTACCTTCAAACCTTTAGAACATCTCCATCCCATTTTGACCTTACAGGATGTATTCTTTAGAGTCATGCGAATAAGCCTGATAAGTTTTCTGTAAATCCCTAAGGAATGCAGGTATTTGTACATATTCTCCCTGTCAATAGTATCATAGGCCTGTTTGAAATCGATAAATACATGATGTAGAGTTACATTATACTCATTTTATTTCTCCAACATTTGCCTTACTGAGAATATGTGATCAGTGGTAGACTGACCGACCTGGTCTAAAATCACATTGGTATTCTACTACTTTCTCAGCCCATTTTAATAATCTCCTGCTGATCGCTATTGAGAACACTTAGTAGATTATTCCAAGGCAGGATATTCCACGATAATTTCTACACTCAGTTCGGTTCCTCTTTTTGTATATTGGACGTACTAGTGCTTCAGACCATTCTCTTGGCATCTTTTCAGAAGTCCATAATATTATATATATAATTGAAGTATTATAACATTTAGTTTGTTTTTTTGCTTAGAAAATTAAAATCAACTTCTGTTCCAACAAAGTTTTAAAACCAGTTGAAAGTTTTTTGCTATTATTTGAGAACTGAATAGGTATATCTTCTCAGTCTACAAGCTCTAAGAAAAAGTTCTGTGGGTCCACACCAAATTTTCCTTAATCCAGCATCTTTTCCCTTGCTTAATCCTTTCAAACACTGCCTCAACCTCTTCTTCTCAAATAGCATATTCTATTTAATGTGGTTTTATAACTTCTGTTTTAGTTTTTCTTTTCATATCCATTATGCCAATACCCACAGAAAACATTCATCTAGAAAAACCCTTTCTCGGTTGTGTTTCCTCCAGGCTTCTAACACATCTTCTCCATTGGCTATCAGTAGTGTCCATATTCTTTATGAAATTTTATCTGTCCTAATTATTACTTGCATTGCACTTAGCAGACCACCTTTGCCTTCACTGCCTTTACAACCTTCACCTCCCACCATTTGGTTTTGTTAGAGTTCAGGATAATCTTTTTTCCTCTCTCATATCTTTTTATTACAAGAAGTAGACTTTTTTATTCATATTCACTGATTATTGAGGTCTTGATTTACATTTTCCTCAGTTTGATCACTTCTCAACATCTCTTCTTTAGCTCTTTTTTATCTTTCCTTTGAAGAACTCATGTTGCAAGAATTTCTTAAATTTTTGCTTCCACTAGATTTTTGGTATCAACCATTAAATAAGTTAATGTTTTCACGTCCTTTCAATGCTTTATAATATGTGAAGAACCTTTTTGCGTTTTCACTATATATATATAATAGTAATGAAAATTTTACTATAGACTTCCTGTGTTATTTCATTTGTCATATGTTTTGAACAAATTTTTGTTTATTTGTTTGTTTCTCACCTAAAATTTTAATGAGTTTTTATCCATAAGCATAATTCATTCCCTCTCCTCCATGACTATTCTACTGTAACCTTATGCATTAAGATCTCCACAAATCAGTATTATAATAAATGTTAAAATTTGTTAATGATGTAGAGATGGTTGACTGTTGATATAATATGAGAAGGAGGTAGTCGGGGGTGCGGTCAGATAAATACTAAATTAAAATATAGTAATTATTTTGTTTTAATTTTGCCGACGTTTCGATCCATTTTGCAGGTCGTCTTCAGGGCGTAGGATGTAGCACTGCGGGAGGCAGTTGAAACACTGCTAGTAATTATTTTATTTTAATTTAATATTTATCTGACCGCACCCCCGACTAACTCCTTCGAATAAAATTCTTATTTTATCAAAACTGCTATGTAGGAGAATGAAGAAGTGTTTATAAATTATTGGAAAATACAACAGCAGGAATAGGAATTCTTAATTGATGGCGGTTCAAATGAAAGTATGTTGTAATGTAGATGTTCTTCAATAAGAGCTGACTGTAAATAGGAAGTTAATAGAGAATCTAGAAAACTTCTAATACATATTAGTTATGTATATATCATCTCACTATGGTATGGCTGCTGCTTATAAAACTAATACTCTATCAACTCCACATTTATAAGGAAGAATGAAGTATCTACCTCACCTAAAAATGATGAGGCTTAAATAACCTATTTTTCTCTTCTCAGTAATGAATGTGAGCCTTGTAGCTTGATTACCATTCACCAAAGTAAAGTTCAAGGCTATCAAAGAAACAGTGTGGAGCTAAGGGGAAAACCGGGATAGACACAGCACTCAACTATCTACCTGGAACTGGAAAGTTTGATAAAGAAGGAAAGCGTATTTTTAAAGCAAATAATTGAGATGAGTAAAGAGAGAGTTTTACCATTTGTTTTAGGAAACCAAATTTAACCTGGACTCATTCGTATTCCAAGCAACTGACAGAAAAGCTCGACGAATGTTCTGACAAAGCTTCTAGTTGATGAGGAAAGGACAAAGTACATTGTGATGATTATATTCTTATTAGCTATCCCAATTAGTGATTGTGAACTGTTGACTTTATACTTTTAACAAAAAAAAATTAAATTATCAATTTTTGACTTCAACATTTTTTTTGTTCAAAAAAGATATTTTTTTTAAGAAATAAGATATTGGTGAAGTATTATTATTCTATGCATATTTAACAAGGTTTGAAACTTCTGATAAATAGTGAAATCTGAATTGACAAGAAGAAATTATGCTACCTCAATTACAGAATTTCAATAAATTTGTTGTGTATTAAGTTGATAGAATAGAGATTAATCTGTATTCTAACTTGAGTAATTGATTAGAGGGATATAAAATTATTTCTAACTTTTGATTAGTTTATTTCAATATATATTTATACATGATATTTCAACTTTCACTTTGTAATCGTGCTATGTTTTGATAAAATTATTTATTTAACTTAATTAATATTGTTACCTTAATAGACTTGTTTTATGTGGTTGATAGTTAATTTGATAATTTCATAAAAATCTGTGAACTAGTTTAGCTTTTAATATTTGTTTCTGAATGCAATCAGAATTATTGTTTTGAAAATATATGTATTACCAGTATTTATACTTTCTAATATTTATAGGAAATTATATAAGTTACTTTAAGATAATCTTTGCCTTGAAAATAAGTAGTATGCATGCGCCCCTTCTTAATTTTGTCATTTATATTTTATTTGCTTCATACTGTTATAAAATAATGTTTGCACTAAATTGAAAATACCGCCAAAATTTTGTTTTTAATAAGTTTACATAGTTTAATCTGGATGATTTGCAATTTTTTTATTGGTTCATTAAGTTTAACTTTGAAAATTAATTTTTTTTTTTTAATGTAACAAACAGAAAAACTGGTCCTCCACAAGCAATGAGTTTAAAACATACATTTGACGAGTACATAGCAGCATTGACACCAGCTCCTCAACTCAAAGATTTCTTGTCCGAAGCTATTGAAGAATCTGAAAGGAAAATAGAACCAGAAAAAAAGTAAGTTGGAATGAGTAGCTGTAAATTTGAGCCTGTACCACTAACTAAAAGCATTCTTTATTTCTTTTTATTTAATTTAATCTGCTAGCTAATCACTCCACCCTTGGGATTTTTTATGACATGATATGTCAGTTTTTCTTACCTGTTTAATGAAATGTTTTCTGGTAATTTTTGTATTTCCTCTTCCTGCTCATGTAAAATTATTCTACATTCTCTGCATTTTAATATATTTTATGCTATAATGATGCAATCAATAGAGGTTTAGTTAGTCCTATTTTATTGGATTATTATATATAACTATTCACTAATTTTTATAATTTTTACTTTTCTTTTTAGTCCCATTTTATATAACTTTTCATTTTTATTCTTACTAAGTATAAACATTTTATGGGATTTACCTCATTTTTGCTAATATTTCAATACTATTAACAATCCTAATTAGAATCCTGGCATACTTAGCTTGCTTGAAGATTCGTAAAATCTATAATGTTTTCTAATGCCAATGTTATTGTAGTGTGACTGCACTGTAACTGTTAAAAAGTTTTGAAATGAATTTGAAATAATGATAGATAGTTGTTAAATCCATTGTAATTAAATCAGTTGATCTTTATGGAGAGATAAAGTATGATAAACCTTATCCCTTCTTATAAGGAGCCTAATACCTAATAATGCTCTCTTAAGATAAATTGTCTTAAACAATGAAATAATAAACCAAGTGCAATTGACCCACAGGCCAGATCCGATCAGAAGGTGCCGCTTCTGATACAAGTATCCCAGGGTGCTGCCTCCATTGGGTTTCTCAATATTACGCTCATAATGAAGAGTAGAAAAATAATCTACAGATTTTTGTAACTTTTCAACAAAATTAATTTGAAAGAGATATTGTTAATCTGTCATTTAAATTGAATAAACTATTATGAAGAATTAGTCTCATCACTTAACTTACACCATATCTGTTTAAAATATAAGTTCAAAAATAATAGTTCTGTTATGTCTAGAACTTAAATTTATTATTTAAACAAAAGTTATAAAAAACCAAAAACCAGTTGAAAAATTAATCATATTCCAATGAATTTTTAATCTTACAAAATTTTAAATGTTTTTAGGAAAGTAGCGGATCCTTCATTTGCATGGCTATCGGTCAAACTGATATCATTGAAAGCTCCAACATTTTTTTCAAATTCTCATTCACCAGTTCCAAGCATGTCAGAATATGTTGACATCATGTGTAAGAAGATGTATAGAGATTTGAATCCTGGACTAGTAAGTGATACCCTCTCTTTATATTTATTAATGGTAGACATATTAAATAAATTTTCATTGAATATATATATATATATATATATATATTTTTTTTTAATGTTTTGTTAGTTAATTTTAACTAAAAATTAAAGAACCTAATTTACATCTGCCATCCCCGTCTGCTTTGTAATGTATCCAAAATCATGTTTCCAACTTTTGGTGTAAAAAAAAAAAATCAAAAAACGGCTACAACTATCTTTTTATTTGTATTACTGTTTTTTTTTTATCTTCAGCTACCTAATTACTAAAAGGGTTGACAATTATATCCTTCAAAAATTGTTATGAATGTCTAATGGGAATATTCCCACTAGAACTATGAAAGTAGATCTTGAAAAAATAGTCAAGTCCTAGTTTATACATTTTACACTATATATAAATCTTATATAGCTCAAGTTATTAATGAGTATTTTCTTTAATCTGTAATGTTTTTTTAGCTTCTTCCTCCCATTATGCCTGCTCCAAAATCTGCTGCAATCAAGACGAAAAAACCTGGTACTAAAACTAGTGCTTCCACAAATTCACTTACAACTTCCTTGAAAAAACGTATGAAGAAAACCAAAGTAGATGGTGATAAAGCTGTTGTTAAAATTGTCAAAGGAGGTGTAGTGAAACTTGTCAAAACAGCTAAAGGAATCAAGGTGAGGGATGAACTCTATTGAAAACTTTAAAATATTCAATTTTATTTTAACATACTATGCCATTTGCACCTGTACTGCAGTGCAACTAGCAAATTTGGTATATTAGGCATATTCAATTTAAAATACATTTTAGTAAGAAGTTTGTTTCCACAGTCATCCTATATAATCTCAAGTTTATTTGTTATTATACTAATAATACATTATTATATTTAATTTATATATGATTATTTATTTATCAAAATCTTTTTTAATTTTGAATATTTTATTTATGTAATATATTTATAAACCTTTAAAAATAATTTTTTTTAAACGTTTCCGCTTGAAGAGCCGTTGTCAAAAATTATTTTTCTTTAAAAAAAAAAAAACATTAATCCTATAAAAACATTATTTCTAAAAAATTCCTAAAATATATATGTATATAGAATGCTACTCAATGGTAGTTACTGTTTTATTCGTTCCGAAATTCCAGAAAATTTCTCTTCTCGTTTTATCAAAAACTTCTTACTATAATTTAGCAACTCCTTTACAATGTAATAATATAAACAATTTTTTTTAAATCCAAAAACACTTGCATTTTACAAATCTTTTTTGGGGCAAAATGTATTTAATTAATGAAAAAACACGACCAAAACCAAATCTAAAAATAACAAATAAAAAACTGTTTACCTTAATTTCTTTCCTTTTTTATCACCCTCATTTTATTTCTACTGAGCTGTACATCAGACTGACTCACTAAACATACTTAGGTACCCTCTCATGTGTTTAATTTTAATTTATTTTGTTTATTAGGTTTTAGAATTATTTTTATCTATTAACTTTTTTAAAAGTTCTGCCTAGTTTTGGCTATTGATTTTTTATTCATATTTAAAATTTACTGCATTTTATAAATTTTCTGTAATAGTTATTGCCTCTAGAACTTTTCTTCTAAAAATATTTTTTTCCTTTTATATAATGTCTACATTTTTATGTTATTTAATATAGTTGCTAATTTATTTGTTGGTTTATATCCAAATTTATTTTTCATAACATTTTACAAATGTTTAACCATGGGAGTTATTGATAGAAATCGCTTATTATTCCTAAAATCTCATGACAATGACCATTAAGCTCAATAAAACAAATTTAACTAATGGTTTCTGTTGCTTTTATCCGAAATCTTAAGTAATTTAGTTTAAAAACTTGTTTAAATAGATCACCTTTAATAAGATTATTCTCAGTAAAAAAATCTTATTTTTGAATCATTCAAATCATGGCATAGTTTTCTATAAACTAAATTTTCATTTCAATTTACTTCAGCTCCCGATTCTTTTCTCATTCAAACTGTTCCTTAATTCTGGATCCTAATCTTGAAATCACTAACTATATTTCCTATATCATTTAGAAATAAATTGCTTATGCTGTTCTTTCTCCATGTTTTTCTTTAAGTAGTGAAAATTATTATAGATTCATGTAGCTAATTTTGTTGAGTTAATTTCTGAAGTAATGTTCTTCATAGCATTTGCTCCCTTAGCATATGCATATATATATATATATATATATATATATATATATATATATATATATATATATATATTAAAATTGTTTTAAGACTATGTTTCTGCATTTCCAGGTAGTAAAGGGTGATGAATCAGAGTCAACTACAACTGAAATTACTAAAAATGGTTCATCTAGTCCTCCAGAAAAGCCTGAAGAATCAAAGGTCATTGAAAAACCAAAGATAGAAAAAGAAAAAGTGACCAATAACACCCAAAAAGTTGTTAAGATTAGTAGTAATTCCTCAAGTGATAAAGCAACTGTAAAAAAGTCTGAAAAACCCGTAGAAAGAACAAATGAGAAATCACCCGATAACAATTTTGTAAAGCCAACAAACCCTGTAAAAAATGACAAATACAAATCAGAAAAAGTAGCTAAATCACCATCTCCAAAACCTCAGAAAAAGTCTGATGAAAAAACAAAGAAAGATGAAAAGAGAGTAGAGAAAAGAGATGACAAGAAAAATGATAAGAGAGATGACAGACGAGATAGATCAGACAGTAGATCGCGTGAAAGGAGCGTAGAATCTAGAAGAGAAAAAAGTGCTGACCGACCTAGTGACAAAGGAAAGTCTATAGTGAAGTCCCCTGGCAAACGTAAAGCTTCTCCGAAAAGGGATGACCATAAATCAAGCAAATTAATAAGGGGTAAGTCCTGGAGATAAAAACTTGTGTTGTTATTACAAGTGTGAATATCTGTATATATTAGATAAATTAAGTGCCCTATATTATAGATTTTGTGATTTATTCTTTCCTACGATCTTGTTTTTTGTTTGTTTTGTTTTTCTTCTTTGATAATTTGTCAATATTCATCCTCAATTGATTATTTTATTCTTGAATAAAGGGTTTTTTAATTTATTTATTTATTTTGATTGGGTTCCATTATATACCTAATGTTTAGTACTTAATATATAGTTCTACTTGTCAATTCTGTCCCTATTTGTTTTATTCAAGTTCCTTGATGCGCTTATATCCACATATTAGTTACTAAGATTTGTTTTCGAAATTTCATAAAATGATAGAAAAAAATCTTCAGTGTAATTAAAGTTTTTATATTCTGATTTCAGCATTTACAACTGTAATTACACAGGATAATTGACTGTGACTACTATCAAATAATTTTGAGTTCTATTGTATTATATATTTAATGAGTTTAGAACGAAGAGTGCAACATATTCTCTGGAAAAATTATATTAGCCATACCAGTTATTTTAAATATTTCCATTTTTTTTTTAACTTAATAAAGAAATTCTTTTGGACATAATTTATTGTTTAATTCTTTAAAAAATAAATAGTATGGTTGTGTATTTTCATTAAACCATTTAACTAACATGTTTTGAATAATTTTTCTGTTGAATATTTATGTTCATTTATTTTTTTGGAAATAAGTGCTTCTTAGGTATATCTAGATGGTAAATACATGGATCTAGAATATCAATTAGTGGATACAAATTAAAATGAGTTGATTTTTTTTTTTCTTTTTCTGAAAGTAACTCCAATGCAAAACATTAATTATTTTGCCAGGCTTATTTTAACAACCAAAGCCGGGGCTTGGGATATTTGTTTATTTTATTTATATTTTTATAATTGTGTTTGTCATAGCAAGTAAACAACTAAATTATTCTCATTTTTATTGTAGATGCCCAACTGTCGTATTAAAACAATAAGCCTGGAGTTATTGGAAAATTTTATAAACATAATTCTGTTATACAAATATCAGCCAAGGCCTTCGAAGTTCTTTTTCTTGCCTACTTAATGATTGTAAAATCCGATTTCAAACTAATATATTATTAAGTAAATTATACAATAATTTTTATTTTTTCTTAAATACTTTATTTTATGTTATTCTTTTTCAATTGAACAATATTTGATCTTAATTAATTGTACCCAGATAATGATTGTAACTGAATCAAGTAACATCTGAAGGCGTCTTGTGAACCTTGCAATTTGCATTTTCATGCTGAAACCATTTCCTCATATTATTTACTTATGATAATTAACTTCTGTGGATGATCAGCCTTAAATCTGGATCACAAGAAATACTAATTGAAAGAACCTTGGAAGGAATTAGAAGATTTCAGTTAGTTTATTTGTATCAAAATGTTTTTGAATGTGAATAGTTTTCAAAATTTAGAAAATAGGTTTGTGAATTGTTTTGCAAATTTTAACCAATAAGCTAGGTAATTATAGAAGCGTTTGTATTGTTAAGATCTTTAAATCAATAGACATGATCCAAAATGTTTTGTATGTGGGTTTTTCTGTTCTCAGGGATCAATTTTTTTATTTTTAAGTTCTTTAATGTATTACTGTACAACTTATACATTTTTAACTGTTCATTAATGCAATTTTGTTATACAATAATACAACTTATACATTTTTAACTGTTCATTAATGGAGTTTAATTTTGTTATGTATGTTCTTTTATTTAATTATTAGTTGTAATAGTTAGTAAAGAAAGCAATAAATGTAGTCCATGACTTACTATTTGTTAACATATGATTTTATGTATTCCTCTGCTAAAGTTAACTTAAAATATTTTGAATACCATCCTTTACTTTAACAGATATTTTATATTAATTTTTATTTTGGGACTAAAACTTAAGCTTAAAAAAAAAAAAAAAAAACTCTTAGATTCTGAGTAAAGAATAATTTTAGAAGATACTAGATTTTTAAAAATAACTTTTGTTTATATGTATGTACAAAAAAATAAAATTCGTTTTTATTAAAAAAAAAAAAATCCATTATTATGAAGGTAAAATATCCCTTTTAACTTTTACTTATATAACAAATTTACAATGTACAAAAAATTAAGATCCTTTTATTAAGAATATTAAAATAATTATAATACTGAAATATCGTTTTTTTCTCTTGTAATGATCAACTGCCTTAACTTAAATTTTCTATTATTTGTTTTTTCGAAGGACTTGGGTATAATTTTTATTAAATTTCTCCCATTTATCTGCCAAATACTGTACTTGACATATCGCCTACAGTAGATAGGTAAGATTGCATCAATCAATTGGTATAAAATATTCAAAAGAAGTTGATGCAGAAAAAATAGATCTGCTGATCCAATTACTCACATAGACAGACACAAATGATCTATCACTTAACAGTTGAGTGGAAGTTGCTACCTGCTACCTGCTTAAGCTCAGGCCAAGTAACAAACAGGATAAAGAAAATAAATAATTTATATTATCTGATTTGCAATATTATATTGGGAAAGAGGGCGGTAAAGAACAAAAAATTCCAAATCGTCAAAGCAGTCTTTCTTTCTACATTACAATATGACGAGGAAAGTTGGATCATCAAAGAAAACAAGTTGAGCAGCAGTCTACAGAAAATAATTTTTTTATTTGGAGTATTGGGTAAAACTGATCTCATCAAAATCAACAGTTGAAGGAATGACTTCACTGGTTTGAGCACCTTTGTAAGACATTTTATTGTGCAAATACTCAAAAATTATTGTGTTGTTATACATGAAAATGAAATGAAATGAAATTATTTTTTTATTATCCTGGAACTGTTGTCCCTTTAGGACAAATTATAGATACAGAAAAAATGCCTGTGTGGCCATTACATTAAATTAAATATTTACAAATCTCATTAAAATTAAAATATTGGAAGGAAAAAACATACAGATGTATAAAAAACAAACATGGAAAAATAAAATAAACAAAATCATTTCTGAGGGAACTTCAAAAGTTCTCTTAGGTACATTTAGTAATCAATTGGGTTGGGAAAGGAGTAGGTGCTTAAAAGGGATAGATTTAAATGAGGAAACTGATTGTGCATGTTGAATATCGGGTGGAATGGTATTCCAGAAGGAAACGGCTTGAATTATAAAGGATTTGTGAAATCCAGCAGGTCGGTGAGGAGGTGGATAGAGGTCGGAAATATGGGACTTGGTGGGACGGATTGAATGGAATATTTAAATTGTATTGTAGGCTGTGAAAAATATAGGAAGGTTGCTGAGTTCTAATGACTTGGTGTAGAAAGGTAGCTAGAAAATACAGACCGTGGTTGGATGAATAGAGCCACTTCAACTTCATATAATACTGGGTTATATGCGTATCTCTTGAGATTCCGAAAACAAAACGTATTGCACAATTCATTGGGCATTTAAGTTTAGCCTCAAATTCTCCCGAGAGTCCACCATATATCAGATAGCCATAGTCGAAGTGGGGGAACATAAGAGAGGAAACCAGAAGTTAACAGGATTTATATGGGAGGAGATAGCGGAGACAATTAAAACTATTTCAGAGTAGAGATAGTACGATGGGAAATTTGGAAGATGTGTGGTTTCCAAGAGAGGGTTTGATCAAAAGTAACACCAAGATTTTTTACGGAAGTATGGAATGAGATAGGTTCTTATCCAAAAAAACGTCTGCCAAGTAAGGTCAGTATAGTTTCCTCATCGTTTGCATTGGCTAAAAAGTATTTATATTACAAGATCTAAAATTTTTGGAATGAGTATAAAGTCTCGATAAAAAGCCATTTTCGGAAATTCAGTAATCCCTCAACAAATACAGGTTTGATATCCACGAGTTTCGTTCATCAGCGAATAGTAAAATGCGAAAAAGATCCGCAATAAGTAGATTGCATATTTGCTGATTCGGGATTAAAAAAAAATCCAGTGCGTACATGTACTTGCGTAACATGAATATCACTACTGTAAGTGCAAAACGTTGTATGTAAACATTGAGTGTTTTACAAGAAAGCACAACAACCAATTGTTTCGTTATGATTTATTAGTATAATTTCATAATTTATTGCCCTCTGCTATTTTTCATAGTAGCATAATGCTTATATCAGTTGCAGAATACACAATGTCATCTTTAGCACAAATAGAATTAAAAGTTTAAAATGTATAGATACGACCTTTTGCACTAACAGTAGTAATATGAACTTAATCGGCATGTTTTCATTCCAAAAATGGGTAGTACACAACATCCATAAGAAAAACTAAACTTTGTTTTTTCAGGGTTAATGAGACCAATATTTTTCTTCAGTCAGAACAAAACTGCTCTTGGCGGAACCTGTCCGCTAGGGAGCGCGTCCCACAGGTGGCAGATGGGGGATCCCTCTTAGGAGGGGGTGGTCTGAATATACTGAATAAAGACCCGTGGACCAACAGGTACCCAGTACTGGGGGGTATAACCCGGCCACCCTTCCTCCTGAGGGGATACAAATATTCAGGAGGGCAGTTGTCCCGAGGTACGGGGCATCTAGTATCGGGCCAATCACCCATCTAGAGTAAATTGATTCAAAGAAATACAAGCAGCCTCGGATCCAGACAGTCAAATGGTTATAGACGCGGCAGGAAAAAGTTGTTATGTTTTGCTAATTGGAATATAACGTCACTTATGGGTAAGGAGAGAGTAAAACTGGTGGAGAAACTAAAAAGATGTAAGGTGGATATCATCGGGCTAAGTGAAGTGAAGAAGAAAGGGTATGGATTGGTAAAACTCCCAGAGTATAGCATGATATATTCAGGAGTTAATATAGGATAAAGAGTCAAAGAAGGTGTCAGCTTTGTCCTGAAGGACGAATTATTTGATAGAGTAGAAGCCTGGGAACCCATATCATCTAGGATTATCACTATGGACATTGTGCTCTCCATCGGAAAAGTTGCCATGATACAGGTATATGCCCTTACCGAAGATTCTGCCACTGTAGATAAAGACCAGTTTTATGAAGACCTGCAGAGAACAGTAGACAAAGCAAGGAACCGGAACAGCAAGAACAGGTCGGGATCATCAAGCAGAGTTCGGAGCAATGGGTATATGGGGAGGTGAAGATTACATCAATAACAATGAAATCAGGCTAATTGAGTTCTGTATAGAAAATAATATGCTTATTGGAAACTCACGGTATAACCGTAAGACAATCCATAAAATCACATTTGAAAGAGGTAATAGAAGAGCTACCAGAAATAGCATCATTGATTATTTTATCATTGATAGGGAACTCAGACAGTACTTCACAGATATGAAAGTTATACGAGGAGCAGAATTGAATACAGATCACAGGCTATTGGTTGCTGACTCCAAGATACTAAAACCACGAAAAAAGATCGCCAAATCATATAATAGGATAGCTGTCAACAAGCTAAGAGAAGAGGAAAAAGAGCTGGCTTATACAAGTCGCCTTCAAATCCAACTCCAAGAAGTAAATGGGGACGCAGGTGTTGACACTATTTGAAATGAAATGAAAATATTTTTTTATTATCCTGGGACTGTTGTCCCTTAAGGACAAATTACAGATACAGAATAAATGCCTGTGTGGCCATACATAAAATTAATTATTTACATTTATTATTAAGATTGAGATTTTGAAAAAATAATAAAACAAAAAATATAACTATTACACTAAAAACATTCTGATATATATAATACAAACTATATAATAAAATAAAATAGCATAAGCAAAGAAAATAATTTCTGGGGGAACTTTAAAAGTTCTCTTATCTACATTTCATGATCAATCGGGTTGGGAAAGGAGTAGGTGGTTAAAAAGGAGAGATTTAAATGAGGAAACTGATTGTACATGTCGGTATTCCAGAAGGAGACGGCTTGAATTATAAAGGATTTGTCAAACGCTGCAGTTCGGTGGGGAGGTGGGTAGAGGTCGGAGGTACGAGATCTAGTGGGACGGGATTGAATGGAATATTTGAATTGTAGGTTGTGAAAAATATAGGAAGGCCGCTGAGTTCTAATGATTTGGTATAGAAAAGTGGCAAGGAAGTACAAACGGCGGTTGGATGGATAGAGCCACTTCAACTTGGTGTAATACTGGGTTATATGCGTATCTCTTGAGATTCCGAAAACAAAATGTATTTGGGCGCAAATCAAATTTAGTATACTCAAGACAGCCAAGGAAGTATGTGGTTTACAGCAAATAAGACCTACTACTTGCGAGGATGTGAAACGAGTCATAACTGTAAAGAAAGAGGACTGGAAACAAGAGCACTAAGGAACAAAAAAGCAAAGCTTGAGAGAAGTGTAAATGATGAGCATGGCATGCTGGTGACAGAAGACAGAGATATATTGGAGGTTTGGAGGAAATACTTCCAAGAAAAATTCAGAATAAAAGAAAGGCAATGAAATTTTCGAGATTGCCGTAGCAGATGTAGAAGAACTGAGCCAGAAGTCCCCGACATGGATGACACCATAGAAGAGGAGGAAGTCGAAGCAGCCATTGCTAAAGTAAAGATGGGAAAAGCAGCTGGGCTAGATGGGATTGCACCCGAATTTATAAAATATGGAGGAAATGAGTTGGTCAAGTGTCTCCAAATACTATTCCAAAAGGTTTGGGATCTCAAAAGGATAGAATGGGAAAACAACATCATTATCCCAATCCATAAGAAGGGAAGCCAAAGTGTATGCGATAATTACCGACCAATATGTCTGTCATCGGTGGTATACGAAGTATACACTAGATTCCTGGAACAAAGATTAAGGAACTTGGTGGAAGAAGATCTGGAAGAGGAACAGACAGACACAAGATCATATCTTCTCTCTGAGAATGATTATAGAGAAGGCATGGGATAGAGGTAAAGCAGTATACCTAGCTTTTCTAGCTTTACGGGCGGCTTTCGACAATGTTCCTAGACAGGAAATATGGGATGCATTGCAAGATAGGAGAATCCCACAAAATATTATTAGTGCAATTAAGTCAGTGTACCAAGACCCTAAGGGAGTAATAAGGCTAGCCGGCACTGAGTCTAGGTCATTCCATTTCTTTAGGGGAGTTAAACAGGGCAATAGCCTGAGCCCCCTGCTGTTCATAATTTTCATGGAATCCATTTGGAAATTTTGTAAAAGGAGGATACCCAGAGCAATAGTGGGATACTGGAATATGACCCCAGTATTGACACAGGCATTGTTGTACGCAGATGATGTGGTATTGGTTGCGGATACTGCTGAATCGCTCCAGGTCACTGTGAATGAGTGGCAAGAAGAACTGCAACTCAGAAGCATGCAGATCAATCCCTCCAAAAGCAGAGTCATGTGTGTTGGACAAAGGAACAAGGTTCTTAGAATCACTTGCAATGGAGAGGCCCTTGAGCAAACCGATACCTACTGCTACCTGAGAACAATGATTGGCAGGGATGGAAGAATAGACTAGGAGGTCATGAATAGAGTTCAAAAGGCCAATGGAATATACTACCAAATATCCATGACACTCATTGGAAAGCAGGAGTTGAGCAGAAAAGCGAAGATTCTGCCATTCAAATCAGTTTTTCTCCCAATGCTACTATACAGATTGGAAAGCTGGACACTCTTGGACCGTTATGCCAGCAAGATTGTCTCTGCGGAAAATATTAGGAAAAACCAGACGAGATCGAATAAGGAATGAAAGGGTGCGAGATGAACTAGAAGTTAGATCCGTCCTAGAGACGATTGAAGATAGGCAGTTGAAGTGGTACGGGCATGTTAATAGAATGGGAGATGACCGTAAGGCCAGGTGGCTTCTAGAAGCAAGACCGGGAAGAAGGCGACCTCAAGGCAGGCCAAGGCTTATGTATGCAGACTTGATAGAGAGAATTGGCGCAGCGAGAGGAAGCACCATGCCGGAGATGAGAAGGCTTGCACAGGACAGGGACCGTTGGACAAGATGGTCAGAGGCAGCTACTCCAAGCTTAGCAGCACACAGGAGATAGTGAGAGAAGAAGAAGAGCAGAACATAACTATTTAAGCTGGAATATAAAAATATATGTAAAAATCACACACCAACTCGATACACCGACGAGCTAGCTGAACTTCAATAGAAATAAACACAATCACAAATCAAATTTTTCTTTTTTACAAACTCAGAGTAAAAATTAATTTAAATTTATTGAAAATTACATGAAATCTAAATAATGTCAGTAAGTATCATGCCAGTAACATTTGGAATTGATGAAACAATACAGTATAAATTAACTCGAATAAAACCTAAAATTTTATAACCCCATAAAAATATCGTCTTAACCTAACTTCCACTCCATATGATCAGTGCTTTTCACATTTCACTGCCATTATATTGTTAACAATTATTTATATTAATTTTAATTATTAAATAGAATTCAATGAAATTCATACTAAGTAATTTCTATAATATTCACCAAAATTCCTCCAAGTTTGGGTCAAATTGAACAAGCAGGTTTCAAACTATAGGCTTTTCAAATAATACGTTTACTAATCCAAAAGCAAAAGTATTTTGTTTAGGAGTAATGGATAGAATTTGATAAAATTCATTCCTACTTGATTATCTGTTTACCGATCCCTAACTTCCCTCCAAATTTGAGCCAAATCAAACATGCGGATTTAGAGATATGGACGTATCAAGGAAAACACGTTTGTGCATATATACGAGAAATTAGAGGACAAAATTCAATAAAATTTACATTACATTATTTTTTCACAATTAGCTACCTTTTATCTAACTTTGAGCCAAATCGAACGAGCCCTTTCTAAAATATCGGCATATCTAAAAAAGTATGTTTGCGTAAGCGGAAGTGCTGGATGTAATTTGATAAAATTGATATGGGACCATCTAGGTACCAACCCACACAATGCCTGAAAATTTCATGAAAATCGGATGAAAGGTACTAGGTGATATTCCCGTCATATCGATTTGACTACAGACAGACAGACACCGAACCAATTTTGATCCTTGATGTCTGAAACGTAAAACGCGAGTGGAAATTTTCGATTCTGAGCACAAAATTTTTTTTAACCTCTCGCACGAACACAATGCTTCCCTAACCTTTGGTAGTGAGGAAGCAAAATAATATAAAAATGTCTTACATAAATATTGAGCATGATTGTCGACCACAATAATCGCAGTGTGTCCAGTTGAGAATAGTGTGGGTTCAATAGCCATATCAGTCATTGAATATTTCTTTTGTGATGGTTCCAAGAAACTGAATCTATACATCCACTCTAGTTAATACAGGGCAGTAATCTGTAAGTAACCATTCGGTATTGCAAAAAAAGGACCAAAAGGTACGCTTGCCATACTGATACTCTCAACTGCCATACTCTCAACAGTTACAAGTACATAACATAATTATTCATTTGTTTAAGGAATATTAACTGAGAATATTTAAATATGATATACATATTTCCATGTTTTTATATAAGAAAGTTAACGGAGAGCAATAGTTTGCACTTGAGTTTGATACTGTCTAATAGATATGGTTCAATAGACGACTGGAGCGGTGACTGCCGAGGGAAGTGATTAGTTATATAATTTGCAGTTCTTATATGGGCAGGCACTTATTTATTTATTATTATTGTTCAGAAAAGTCATCCATCCATAAACATTTATTTATTTTATTTTTGCAAACATGTTAAGCAAAGGAATTTAATAAATATTTATTTAAAAATATATACAAAATATAAAAATAGCATGTTACACACATGCCTTTAACATATATGTGTTTTTTAGCATACTATTTACTTTCACTGGTATCTGAACTAAAATCTGAACTTGTTGTTTTATCAGGAACCTAAAAAAAAGAAACATTGATTGTATTTAGTTTTTAAAACTTCAATGAAAATATCAGATTAATAAATTTTACATTAATATTAATGAATCAATTAATAACTAAAACAGTAGTTTTTTCTTCTTATCTTAAAGATAAAGTAATTAATTCGATAATAATTACCAATTTTATAGGAATTCCTCTGGCTATTAAAGCTGCACCATTAGAAAAAAGATTAACACACTCCCTCACCTGCCTCATTGCTCGTAAAAGTTCCGGTTCTTTTTTTGTTTTGCCTTGAATTTCTTCAAAAGCTGAAGTGAATTTAAATAGAACAAATTAAAATAAAATAAAGATGGTTATAGAGAAGGATGTTAAGAATAACAAAAAGATTAATAGACACATAGCTTGAGGTTTGCTTTTAATAACTAACCTAATAGAATATTTCAAATATCTAAATATAATTATGGTAAATCTGTCATATTACTAATGATTTTCCAACATATAAAGGTATAGAGTAACTGTATAAACTAACCCCACCAAACTAACCTTTTTCAAATTAATAAATTAAATAAAATTCATTTACTATTTATGTCCACAGGAGTTCCTGGTAAGGAAATATTAGCTAGTACCATGGTAATTCTATCGGTATCATAACACGTAACAGGCCAAAGCATACCCAAAGTACAGCCACTGAAAAAAATGTTATTAAATAAACAGATATTAAAAATAAGGTTTGCTATTAGAGTATTGACACATGGTTTAAAACATGAAACTATAGGATTTAACCATAATTAATCATGAATAATCATGATAGTTGTATAGCTGTAAATTTCAAACAAAATATAAGTGTAGTGATAAATACACATTACAAATTTATACTAATAGCATTAATGATTTCATATAGATTTAAGTAAAAAACTGAGATTTATAAGATAAAATATTGTAGCTGTAAATTTAGAAACCATATCTCATAAATTGTAAACAATAAAATTTCATGTGTAGACAATTAGAATTTTCTTCATTTTTGATTAATATATTTTTGCTGCAAGTGTGCTGAGAAAATATGAGATTTTTTAGGAATATGAAAAAACAAATTTTAGAGTAAACTTCAGTAAAAAGTCTCTTTGTGTGGGAATTTCGTACTACTGATGACCACTCCCTTTTCCATTGTAAAGTTAATTATACGATGTCCATTATTGTTAGAGTAGTCATGTTTGCTTTCTTTGCCTATAGTGGGTCTAAATGCTCCTTCTTTTCCTACCTTGGCATATATGTGTACATGCAACCACAGAGGATAAAGAAGAGGAGAAAAAGGATATTTTCTACGATACAGTGGAAAGAGAATATGACAGAATCCCGAAGAATGACGTGAAAATAATCATAGGCAATCTGAATGCCAAATGACAATATATGTGGGGGCTGGGGTAGCCGTGCAGGCTAAGGCGCTTGCAATAGGTTACCAAGTTAGGCAACTCTGAGCATAGTTAGCACTTGGATAGGTGATTTGGGTGATCCTCCATCAGAGAAATTCATGCTGCTCAAGATTCCCTCGCCTTCCCTGGTATGTGAGGCCCATCAGACTACTGGAGGTGACTCACACCAACCGGGCATAGGACTAATGACCCTATCCCATGTGTACTTAAATCAGGAATCGGGATGTGGTCTAGGAGACCACATCTCGCAGTCAAAGATCTTCATGGTCTGCAGTGCCAACTGGAAAAAAAAGAGAAAAAAAAATCTGGTGTGCCCACTCACACGACTCTCCTACCTATTTCAGAAAAGTTTTTATATCTTTACATAAGACGATCAAGAAAAAAAAAATTAATTAGATTTATTTTCTTGAAAATTAATCAAAGAAAAGATTTGAGTACATTTTGTTTTATAAACTAAATCAATGTAAACCAGATTAAGGTAGATCAGTGTAAAAATTTCAATACCCTCTAATATTCCTGATCAAAAACTTTTTCTACCAGATTTTCTTACTTTCGCTTTTTTCTCTCTCACCAAGATCTTTTTTCTCTCATCCATCCCTATCTGACACCAGGATATAAACCCGTAATCTTACGTTGGAAATTGAATAGCTGTAACTTCGTTAATAGTTACTACTCAGGAGACTCTGAAACGTATAGATTAGTCGAAAACCACATATAGGAAATTTGACCTGATCGCAATACTATCTATCCTTCCTTACCTAGTAAGAAAGGTAGGTAGGAAAGTAATAAATGAAAACGTGTAGAAAATAGAATAAACTGTATCATCGCTAATATTGGTTCAATTCCAATGATTTTTTTTTTTTGTTCCATAATTTAATTACCTTTCAAAAGTTTATTATAAATTTTACCATATAATATATACTTAGTGAGTTAGGTCCCAAAACATTTTTCTTTTCTTTATAACTTTTTTTTCTGAATTGTCTTGGGAATGTAGACTATATACGAAAATTGAAAGGACAATTATTAGAACATTATAGGAAAGTTATATCAAAATCATTACAGCTGTTTTAGTGCTACAGTCTATAGAAAAACATATTTTTCATTTATCGCCCAGCAGCTATCGAGTGCATGGAGCACCCAATTTCTGTCACAGGCATCAGTAGTCAAAACCCTACAAAATAAAAAAAGCAACAAAATCGGTTCAGTAGTTCCCGAGAAAATCTTGGCACAGAGAGAAAGACCAATGGTTAAAATGTGGTTTCCAGAATCAGGGAGCTCTGAAACGTATAGATCCATCGAAAACCGCATATCGCAAATTTGACACGATTGCAATACTTTTCTTACCTACTTACCCAGTATATATAGGAAAGTAAAAAAAAAAAGTATATATTTATATATACATATATTTAAGATTTATAATTCTAACCATTATAAATTTAAAATATTAACACATCGGCGAAATTCCCAAGATCAATACAAATTTCTAAAATATATTTTTTTACATATTGGCAACACTCTCAGGATCAATTATCAATATAAATTTTAATTTCTAAACAAAATATTTTATTCTTAAATCAAATTAATTACTAACCTGCATGCAATAGCAAATTCCATCACATCTCCATACATCTCGGTATGACCACCAAGATCTTTTAGTGCAACACTGCTACAACCAAAAAGCATCTGCAGAGGTTTTACCTTCAACCTCTGGATCCTCTCAGATGCGATGTACTGAGAACCACTGCCATGCCCACAATATCTAATGATGTTATAATTAATAAAATGATTTCTTTTTAAATAAAAAATTAAAGGATATTAAAAAGAGAATACTCTATGTTTCTAACAAAATTATTATAATTTTTATTTATTTATTTATTTTTTTGACAAAGTAACTCTCTCCCAAAAAAGAAAAGAAAAGGGATTTGTCCAAGTCCATGCTGCTGTGATTGCTAAATAACTGGTACTACTAATTAAGGAAAAGTAATGGAATTTCTCATGACAGCTCACAATATTCCATACTCATTTTAACAAAGAAGTTCTCATTAAAACACTACCTGAATTCAATTTTAATGAATGAGTAAATCTTGATTTTATCAATCCTCAACAGATTTTAATAGAAGAAAAAAATATATTAAAGCATTGAAAATTATGACTTTACATAAACATAATTTTATCTATATAAACACTTCTTGTTAGTTCAATGAATTCAATTTATTTATAATGGTATAATTTTTTAAAAAATAAATAATGAATACTGATCTTTATCATTATTTCGAAGTATTTCCTGCCGATAGAATACAGACCAAGAAATCAGGGACCTATTGACATGCGAGGGTATAAACCGTTGCATAATGTCTACAATGGCAAGAGTCACCTGTTTATTTAACAAAAATTTATTTTAAGCCTTTAAATAGGATGGATCAAAAGGAGAAAGTGGGCATCTAGGATATAGATTTTAAGTAAGGAGAGAACGCTTTCAAGTGAGCAATGGTTTCCACAAACTGCCCATTAAAACGAATTTTTCATACATTAAGTTATTTTTTGTGTTAATATCTAGCACTGTTAGTACTCAGGAATACAGTTTATAGAAGAGGTATGATTTTGGTATGTGAAAAAGTATATATTAATTAGGTATTTTAAATTATACAATCTTAAGTGATACATTAAATGATATAATGAAAATAAAATTTTTCCATCAAGAAATTATTTCATTGTATTCTCAACTTATTACAAAACACAATGACACTATATTCAATATGTAATTATTATATGTGTATATAATAATAATAATCTTTTATTTATTCTGAGATGAATCCCTTTAGAATAATTAACAAGGAAATGTGGGCTATTGAACCTCAGATATATATAAATGTATTTACAAAGTTAACTAATAGATATAATAGAGAAAAAAAATTATCTTATAGATTAAATCGATTAAGAAGAAAAAAATAATAAATGAAAGAACAATGAAATGAAAATAATTGGAAATAAACTAATAATATTTATACATATTTACAGAACTTTCTATTTACAATTTTAAAGGGACTGGATGGAAAGAAAGTGATTGAATAGGCAGGATTTAAAAGCAGGAGTATTGGAGCTACGGGTGTCGGGAGGGATGGAGTTCCATAGGGATGAGGATCAAATAATAAAAGATTTATCGAAAGCAGTGGTTCGGTGGGCCATTATATATAAATCTGAAGACCGGGAACGGGTATTGCGGGAGTGGAAAGAGGATTTAAATTGAAGGGATAGAGTATTTAAATTGATGGAATATATGTATGTATATATAGGAATAAAATGAAAATTCAAGAAGGTAAAAAGTTGGTTCTCAACAATCTCAAATCTCACAAAGTTCAGTAGCAATCGTAAGTACTACAACTTCCTTATAATACTATAAGATTGTTACAAGTTCTGTGTTCCCACTCAGTTCGTTATCATTAAGTGGAACATGTGGGCAGAGTAAGCTGGACTGATATCGTGATTCAAAGTCATGAAGGAACCCATCTCTCACTTGAGCTACGGCAGACCACCTTCGTATAGGACCACCTCTCTTCAAAACCTACAGCGGATCATCATTGTGAAAGCATAAATAAGATCCAGCCTGTACTGAATTCATTCTCAAATTTGACTTATAAAAAAAAGGAGTAACTTTTTAAATGAAGAAGAAAAATCAATCCTGCCCCAATTACTAAAATTAAGTTGACTGGAAAGAACATGGTAAAAGACGAGGAGCTTTTTAATTACATGAACTACCTTAGGCAGTTAGCCATTAATTCATTGTCTTGCACACAAGGAATATTAAGAGACCATAAAATGAACAAAAATCATAGAAAAAGAGAGATTTGTAAATTATCTTACACATATGTATTAGATTCCGTAAGTGCTTTAATCAACTCTTCTTCAGTTGGTTTCTTTCCAATAATACCAATCCATTGAGGAAACCGCTTTCGAAAAAACTTTGGTATATGTTCCTCAACACTCGGGAGATTACCATCAGGATTAACTACATAATAGCAAACTTCATTTTCATTGATCTCCCTAAAGAAAAAAAAAAGTGAGAATAGTTTTTACCAATAACTAGTACCTTAAGAACAAACTTAAAAAAATAAATATATTAAATAAAATTACTAAAAAATAAATGAAATTTAAACAAATGTAATTTTAAATACTAACAATATATAATGTATTTAGTATAAAATACAGAGTATATAATAAAATTTATTTATTATAAAAGAGATAATGTTTTTAACTATTTTGGCTAACACCAAAATCTTTGAGTTGTATAACTTGATTGTTTGGTTCTAGATAAAACATTTTCAAATATTTTTGAGTAATTTTCTTTTTATTATTAAGCAAGGTTACCTTAAAGTATGTTATAAAATGAGTTGTATTTTAATAAAATGTAAAAACAATTAAAAAAATCCTGTTTTTTTTTTTTTTAAAGAACCCTTCTTTGATATTACAACCAAGAAGAATCTTGACCAATACCATTGTGTTTCTTAAATATAACTTCCAAAAATGTTATAGTCTATAATAGCACTTAATTATGTAATATTGATATTAATTGAATACAAACCTTAATCCACCTTTTATGTGATCTTTATGAGAGGTGAACAGAGCATGAGCAACATGTAATGAAAACACTCGAGAAACTGGATGCCTTTTAAGAAGAGGGGTACATTCCCATGATACATTATCAAAGTGCTGTAAAAATTTAAATAAATAACATTTTATTTGTTTTAAATTAATGAGATTAATGATACATGATACATATAACATATAACAGGATCACCAGCTTTCTTAACAAAGTTCGATTGTAGGTGTTGGAAATGAATAAAAAATAAAATTTAGTGTACATATACGTGGGAATATGTTATTCAACCTATGTCTATGGAATTATGAAGCTTCTTTATGAGTACACTACTCTCCCAATATTATAGAATGGAAAACCTTGTTTCCTTTTAATAAAATATTTTATACATAAGGGTCATTTAAACAGTTTGTTATATATTTCATAATTAGTTGGCCCGTAAGAATAATTCACAAAGAATATTGGCCAGTCAACAAATGACAAAATAGTAAGGAAATTAAATAATCAATGTTTCATAAGATGAATGAATCCCTAAATGAATGATTTCCTATTTTTTTGATGATTATAATCAATGAAGAAAAGAAAATTATTATAAAACTTTATTCATGTTATAAACCAAAATGTTTACAAATTACAATACCCTTTGAGTGGATATGACTATTTTTCCCACCTGAAGATCTTCAAAATTTCATTGGATTTAATGAAAAATTGACGAAGATACAGCGTAGCGACAAAAAAAAACTACTTCGACAAATAATATATAAAGATTAAAACCAGCTACTCGGATACGCATGAGAAATACATTAAGTAAAGAGCCCTTCTTTTAGTTTCATCAGATGATTATTTATTTAATTATAATAATTCAATTTTGACCAACAACAATAATTATTATTAATTACAATATCTTATATATAAGAGTCATTAAAATAGCTTGTTATATAATAATTGATAACTACTTGGCCAGTACTTTTTTTTATAATGAGGAAGCGGATAATAGAAGGGAGAAAAATTTTGTAGAAGTACTTCTCAACAACAGTATTATAATTATTATCAATTACAATATCTTATATATAAGAGTCATTAAAATAGTTTGTTATATAATAATTGATAACTAGTTGGCCAGTACATTTTTTTTATAATGAGGAAGCCGATAACAGAAGGGAGAAAAATTTTGTAGAAGTACTTCTCAATAATTTTTCAGATCTAAAAATAGAAAATACGCTGGATGTATATCTATGTATATATCTATGAAATATTTTTATATTTCACTTCTTCTTTCACACAAGAACAAAGAAATAGTAGTGGATACTGTTGGAATATCACAAAGGGAAGATTTATCAAATTATTCACTAAAAAGTTACATGACAATATTTCGGAATAAACTTTGATATCTAATTATTTAAATATAATATCAGATCTATAATCACTAAACTATACTAAATGTATTTAAGGTTATAAACACATTTATATATCCATGAAATGATTTTATATTTTACTTCTTCATTCACAAAAGTACAATGAAATAGTTTTTTTAACAATGCCACTAACTTGCTTAGGTGAATTTTAAATACTTTCTACAAACGTAAACATATTTTTTAAAGTTTATATTTCGTCAGTAAATTTCATTTAATTACCTTGAAAGCATGTTTTTTTTTAGTTTTTTTTTCTACGCCTACGTGCTCTTGCAGTCCAATACAATTTTGCTTTCCTAGCATAAGGGCTGTCCATTTCATTGAAGGAATATCTTATGTCCTGTAATGCCGGGCATGTATCAAGATGTTCTCCTGTGATCATGTCTAAGGAACATAGAGGGCATGTTGGGCTATCTTTTACATCGATGCGGTGGAGGTACTTCTGAAGGAAATCATGGCCTGTGAGCATTCTAAAGCATGCCACGGCTTGCCCTCTAGGGAGGTCTCTAGGAATCCTGCCACTTTCTTCCAGCAATCCACTCCATCGTTTCCCTTCAATTGTTCGCACATATTTTTCTTTCAGTGACTTTGGAGGGTCTGTTTAATGATTCTTTTTGTTGAATCCATGCCCAGAGGAATATCTGGTTGGAACATTCCAGAACCTATTCTGGCCAGTTTGTCAGCTTCATCATTTCCATGGAGCCCGCAATGGCCTGGTATCCACTGAAAAGCGACTTCTGTTCCATTTTCCTTTTATCGGTTCAAATATAGATGGCATTTAGAAACATTTGGATTTATATTATATCCATTTTGGAGAGACAAAATGGCTGCCTGTGAGTCAACAAAGAAAGGAACTTTCTTGTCTTTCCGTTCATTGAAAGCATGTGATTTATGTTAAATATTATCAGTTTTCAAATATTATTATTTATAATTTTGTTGCCGCTCTCCGTTACCTTCTACAACTTTCTATATTAGATATTGTTTTTTCTAAAATTCTCGGCTTTCCAACAATATATTATAAGTATACCTTCTGACTTCTATTTCCGGAGATTTATTTTCGACCTGTATAAGCATTTATATTTTCTTTCTCCTTTATTCAATTATCAGATTCTTTCAAAAGTTATATTTAGCATTTTTTCGCTAAATATTTTACAAAGCTGCTAATTATTTCACAATGGTTTATTGTTTCCAAACAATTATACATCTAAAGTAACATTACCTTCCTTGTTACAAAGAAAAATAAATAAAAGGTGATTCCAATTAATGGACTATACTTTTCTTTATAATCATTAGCAATATGCTAAAAAAATTAGCATTACCTAAGTAACACAATCAAAATTCAAAAACCAAAACAAAGAATATAACCTTTGCAGCAGAACGTACTAAAAAAACTAAAGACCATATCTTATCTAACAATTGTCTGATTTTAACGAACTTTTTTGTTTTTTAGGCAATTCCGGAAACTTTTAGAAAACCATACAACATCCCAAAAAAAAGTGTATACTTTTTGAGTTATTCGGAATTTAATTTTACCACGCCTTGTAACTTTTTTCCCAGCTTCTTTTCGTTGAAGTATGTCATATAGATAAATTTAATGGGTGTCGAGAAAATAACGTTAGCGAAGTTTCATTGAAATCGGTACATTCATTTAGGCGCTACAGTCTATAGCGACGCAGGTTTTTCTGCATTATTATTTTTTTTCTCCTTTATTACCTTATCAAATTCTTTCAAAAGTTATATTTAGCATTTTTTCGTAACTCTGAATAATGTGAAATGATTAACTTTTTAAAATAAACCATATTAAAGGTACTTTAGAGGAAGACGTATTTGAACATTGGGCATTAAAGCCACATAAAGTGACACCGATGGGGATAAGACCTAATTGATATTAAAGACCACTTAATTATGCAATGATACACCGAGTTGAATCAAAATCGTTAAGAGCCGCTTTTGAGAAAATTATGAAAATGTGTTTCAGCGTTGATATAAAGTGGCACTTCCGGTTAGCCGATTTTAAGGAGAAAGTCGCTGTCACATCTAAGGCATATATATATCTTAAATATATAATATCAATTTCGTAGGACTTTTCATTTTTGAGCTAGACTAACATACAAACACAGAGACCATTTTTCAGGACTTGGTAATTTTGACATAGGGTACCTCAAAACGTGTATTTCCGTTGAAAACTCAGATTCGAAAATTTTCTAGATTGCAATACTTACTCTTACTATATATTACATATATACGTAAGTGAAAGTAAAAAATATATGGTACTTCCAATTGAAGCACAAAAATTATTTTTAGAAAATTTAGAAAAATACAAGGAGTATAACATCTTGTACAGGGATGCTTAAACAGCTGATAAGGAAGAAGGAGGCATGGTTTTAAATTCTGATATTCAAAAACTATTTAAACCCCTGGAAGCCTGCTCAGTTTTTACTGGCAAAATGGTAGCAACAAGAGATGTTGCTAAAGTAACTCTAAAGTACATAGAGACGACTGAAATTACCAACTGGGCCGTGGTGACGGACTCGATGAGTACACTACTAGCGATTGGAAATACTAGGCCAAAAAATACAGTAGCAAAAGAAATAAGAAACGTGGCTTCTAAGAGAGAAGGGTAAAGAAGTAGTGTGCGTCTGGGTTCCTTCACATTGCAGGATCACTGGCAATGAACATGGTGATCAAGCAGCCAATAAGGCAAGAAAGGCAGGCACAACTGTGGTGGAATCAATCAGTCAAATCTCTTTAGAGGACATCTTAAAAATGTTAAGAAAGTTATTTGGAAAATGTGTCAAAATAAATGGGATGAAAAGGAGTCAAAATTAAGGGAAATAAAAACCCACTGTTCAAAATGGGAAACCTATTGGTCCTCCAGGAAAGAAGAGGACTAAGAATTGGACATTGTGAGTTCTCTCAGGCCTACCTACAAAGAGGAATTGATCCTCCGACCTGCAAGAACTGCAATGTCCAAAGGACAGTAAAGCACATTATACAAGACTCCCCTATATTTGAAACTGTTAAGAAAACTGGGACATGCCACAAAGCTTAAAAGAAATCTTGAATGACAGTGAAATAACTTTTAAACAAACATTTGAATTTTTAAAAAGAATAAATTTCTATAACAGAGTGTAAATAAAAGGCATTGCCAATGACCTTACAGGGTAGAGGCAATGAAAAAATAAATAGGTAAATAATTAAAATAAATAGTTACAATTGTAGTAAAACCACATTGTTTAACCCAACTGTGGGAGCTCATTCGCATTTTTCTACCAGATGGTGAAACAGATACTCAATGCTATTCAGTTATCTTCTACTACTATTACCAGAAGATTGTCACATTGTTTCAATGTTTCCTCTACCATTGTATGGCGAACTTCACTTGAACAACAATTGTATCCATTTCACGTATCGAGTAGGCAAGATATGTTACCACAAGATTATAACAAGCGCAGAAATTTCTGACAGTGATGAATTCGACAATGCACCTGAGATCCTAACTTCCTGAACTGCATTTTGGTTACTGATGAATCTTGCTTTACAAGAAAAGGGATTCTTAGTTTTCGAAATGCCCATACTTGGGCTGAAGAAAACCCTCATGCAACTGCTGTTGGACATTACCAACATACCCTTTCTTTAAATGTCTGGTATGGTCTTCTAAGCGACAACATAATCGGCCCCTAGGATTTCATAATTTTGCCTCCTAGGATGTCAGGTATATCTTACTTGCATTTTTTGCAAAATACTCTTTATGACTCCTAGAAGATATTCCGCTAGGCATTAGACAAAGGCTGTGGTTTATGCATGACGGCGCTCCATCTCACTTTTGTAATAGTGTCACTGATTATTTAAATGCAACTTATGGAGACCGATGGGTTTGTCGAAACGGACTTGTTAAATGGCCACCACGATCTCCGGATTTAAAGCCATTCAATTATTTTGTGTGGGGCTGGATAAAGTCTATGGTTTATTCTGCAGCAGTTGGCAAACAAGAAGAGCTAAGAAATCGGATCTTAAAAGCCGCAGTAACTATCAAGCACCATCTTTATGCTATACAAAGAGCCAGAGAAGCATGGATTTGTCGTGCTGAATGTTACATTGAACAAAACGGAGGCCCCTTTGAACAATAATAATAAATAAATAGTAATAATGTAATATATATATATATATATATATATATATATATATATATATATATATATATATTTTGTAAGGTTATGTTCCCTTTGAAAAGTAAACTAAACAGTTTCTGAATCGAATTATATTTATTTTAAACAATAATTATTTCTGAGGTTGTATTGAGACAACAAACACACATTGCTCAATTATAAATATAAAATCATACATTAATAGTACATAACATTTTTATGAATTTCCATTCATTTGTCGGGGTCTAATCTTGGCGCGCTTTTGAACATCACTATTTATATTTCACTCACCCTGTTCTGCAGTGAGTCTTCTTCTATATTGTAGTCTTCAACTTCTACAATCTTCTATTCTTCCTTTGTTGGCACTCATTACTTGTTAGTCACGTTAACTTCTCATGATCCTCTTTACTAGCCGGCTGGCTACCTTCTCTCACATCTGGCACTTGCCTCCCCTTCCATCTGACTTTGTCCATTTTTGACAGTAGTTGAATAGTGACGTCACTGCCTTCATGCCACTATTCAAAATCACTATGTGATATTTACATTACAATATATATATATAGATTCCTCCTCGGCATTAGGAACTGTAGAGCTGCAGCAACAGATAGAGCCAACTGGCGGAGACTTTTGGAGGAGGCCTAGACCTGTTAACGGGTTGTTGTGCCAACTATGTTGTATGTTGTGTTATATATATATATATATATATATATATATATATATATATATATATATATATATATATATATAGATAGATAGATAGATGTAGGAAACTTAAATTTATTTGTTTAGTAGACAGAGGTTCACATGTACCAAATCAAAATAAACATTCAGTCAAAACCAAAAATTAAAAAATTAACTTATTAACATTTATTTGATGTATAAAACATTCAAATAGAATACAAATGAGATCACGGATAAGCCACAAATAACAGAGAAAGGGCATACATTGAGTTCACAATAAATCTGCAACTGATGGCTTCCAATTGGTCAGAATCCGGAACGACCGCACTGAGTCAGAAATAGGAGACTAATGAATGCACCGACCAAGTCACAAGTAAAATGGTGAAGACGGGACTTGCCCCTACCTGTTTGAGTGGTGACCGACCTGGCGGGAAAGCATATATCCCAACCGCACCAGTGAGCCAAAACTCTACCATGAAGGCATATATCCCGTCCGCACCAGTGACCTAACTCTTAACGGGAAGGCATGTATCCCATCCGCAGTCAAATGGTTAATAAATAATAACAAATAAAAAAATAACTTACATCATCTAAAACAAGTAGCACTGGATGTCTGGCAGCAACATGTAGTCTGCTTTCGAGAGTTTCCTTGATCCTTATAAGACATTCCAAGACATTGATGGCTAAACTTTCATTTCCATCAAAAACTTGATACAATGCAACCTCAATATCTCCATTTTCCAAATGGCAGCTACCTTCACCTATCAAGTAGCACATATATCTTTGACGAATGCTGATACTGCAGAAGAAAAGATTGATTAATAATAACTAAAGTTTTTTGTAACTAATTAAATAATATATCAGGAAATTTATTAATAAACTTAAATTAATTTTTAAAGTAATCAACATCTTCCTTTTCCTCAACGACTCCAAAGTAAAGGGAAATATAGTCTTTAAGCCTTTATCTGTTATCTCTGTCTTTTCTCAATTTGTTTGATAAAATATTAAGTTTCTATCTGATAGGGAACTGGTCTATTTATCTCTTTGATTTATCCATCGATGTAGCTGCCACATTAATACCTATGGATCAACAAGCTCTTATAGAGTATCTAGCAAAGGAAAGGGATCCTAGAGATTAGATGATAGATCATTCAAATTTAAACAAAGGCAATTCTCTATCCCCAAGTATATTTAATTTAGCACTTCAATATATCATTAGAAAGGAAATTCATACCAAAAAACGTATTACTTTGTTTGGCAAAATACCCGGCTTAGGAGAGGCTAATTTATTCAGCACTGTTAGGTAAATATGTGGAAACTATTAAACAAAATACAATTTTTATTAAAAAACAATTTAAAAAATAGGTCATAAAATTAATATGCATAAAATGCAGTAAGTACAAGAAACTATCATGAATTTGAAGATTAAAAAATTTAAGAACTTAAGATCTACAATAACTAGAAAAAATAAAATTCAAGAGGAAATAAACGTAAGGTTAAGGTGAGCAAAGCTTGTTATTTTCTAGTTCAAAATGGCTTAGTTTAAGCTTTCTTTGCACAGATTCAAAAGTTATAATTTTGAAACTCATCTCTCGACCAACTGTTCATAGAGGTGAGAAATGAGGAAACTTATATTGACAGAAGAATGTCTTAGACTTTTGAAAAATAAAGTGTTGTGTTTCAAACCTGAAAAAAAGTTAATTGATTAGAGAATTTAACATGTTGTTGTGAAACATAGTCAGTCAATAAAATTAAAATAATAGCTTTATGACAGTTGAAATGGGTATATAAAGTAGTTAAACTCAATAAAGAAACGCCTTTAAAAAGTTAAGAGTGCTCAACCAACATTTATATGTTATCATATAGATGGGATGATCAAGATCAAGTTAAGGCTGATGTTGCAGATCTGACAATCGCCAGTACCAATCAGTGTTTATTATTTTCAATAAAAAATTATATTGAAAATCAATAAAATTCCCTTTAACCTTATAGCATCAAAACAACAAAAACAAAGAAAACAGAAGAAGAAGATTAAAAAGTTCAATATTGGAAAAATAATTATAAAATATATTTCTTACTCAGCATTTCCAATTCTTTTATCAACAGCTTCTCTGATTTCATCTTCCAAAGCTTTGTTCATTAATTTTCCAAGAACAAGACATGACCATTCTTTGAAGCACATGGGTCCTATCTCCCGACACAGCCTCTATAATAGATTATTCCATTAGTAATAAAATACATTCATACATTTTAAAAGAAATTATAAACATAAAGGACTATCCCAAGTTATGACAAATGGAATAATGATATAATTTCATCATAACATTGCCACCATGTAAATGCAATAAATGTGAAAAATTTAATTTTTCAAAATGGTTAGTTTTCTATTTATATACTTTTTAGGTAGCTTGAGGCAAAGTACAAAACTATTTCTGGAATCAAAACTAAACTATCGGAAGAGTGGAAAAGAGCTGTTGCATTATAGCAAACATGCATTATTTTGAGAAAAGTAAGGAATAAGATGGTTGACTGTTTACAATATAAAGTAGAAGATTAATTCTGTTAAAATAAATGTACCAGATTCCTTATATTGAATTAGTAATTTTGTTCACTTACATTACAGACTTCGGTATTATTAAACAAATATAGTGTATTTACTAATTATAATTGATTTATTCGGCATATGGCAATCATTTTAGAATCTTATAAGTCAAATATGTCACATTCCTATGTTTGTTTTGTAAAAAATATAAGTTTAAGCAATGATTGTTTCGGATACCTATGTAGTTCAAACTTCAACTATTGATTTCAAATAACAGTTACTGTTACTTAATAAAATAGCAATTAATTTGTAGTTTAAACAAAGTTTTCATTTATGATTGAATTGGAAGAAAATGAAAATTTGTATGATTTCACAAAATTTGTAAATAATTGTAGGAAATTTACCAACCAGCAACAACTTCATATGACAGCTAAGCTAGAACTCAAGGCTACAAATCATTGATTTGTATTGAAATAAAACAAGTACAGAAAATCTGACAGTACCTCAACATCAGAGGAAGCTTCATTTCTTATCTTTTGTATATGTGCAGAAGTTCCTTTCCTTTGCCCTAATTTCTCTTTTATATTCAAGAAACTCTGAATGAGATCACCTGTAGCATCTTCAGGCCAAGAAAGTTTAACACAAACTGGACTGTTTTTTCTAAGAAATTCAAAATCAATTAATAAATATTATAATAATTAATTACAGGATACACATATAGTAATATTTTAACCATTTATTAACTATTAAAAACAATTTAATAGCCATTACAAATAAAGAAAAACACTGGCCTATGAAAAATTAGGTATACCAGATAAAACTATAAAATAAAAGTATTTTAATGAAACAATTTTTACATTTTTCAATACATTGCAATGAATTCCAATACAACGCATTATAAAATGAATTAATCTCCTAAAATGAAAGAAAATATGGAATAAAGGAAAATAGTGTAAAGATAATAAAATCGGATGGCAACTGAACTAATAATTCCTTTTCGGTTATCTATATCAAATTTCAAATATAATAATAATTATAATAAATACTGACCAATAAAGAACTGCTTACAGAAACCGGTCAATCAATATCTCATGATATGAAGGCTAAGGAAGTTAAGATGGGTGGGGCATGTAGCTCCATCTGGAAGCCTCCACACAACAATGAATGCCTCAATAGTAGGCAAAGACTAAAAGCCAGATCGATAGACCAAATCAAAAAGATATAATAGAGCTGCACATATATAACTCGAAAGAGAGAGACCAAGATTGGGAAAGATGGATAAGGCTGGTTAAGGCAGAATAAAATCTACAATGACAACAGAAATATATAGATTTTCGGCAAGGGGGCCCTATCGTGGTCCTTTTTGCCAACCCCTGACAGGTACCTTGAGGTTGCCGTTGCCGCAACATATTTACCAGAGTGGGAATGTCATGATTCATTTCCCCAGGCCACTGAGAAATGAAAAGTAATCGACCAAGATGGGAATTGAACCCACAACTATCAGAACCAGGCACTCTAGGACCCACGCCCTGACGTTTTAGGCCATCCCGTCCTGTAATACTGATCTACATGCTGGAATGTTTTTCTCTGCACCGACTAGAAGCCGTTCGAGCACTTCTAACTCAAATTCACCTCAATCAAATAGACATAGTAGCAATCCAGCAAGTCAGCCGGCTTGGAACAGATATATATATATAAAAAAAAAATGAGCTATACTGAGAGGAATTGTCAATTCAGTTAACACCTGAATTTCGTTCTTCCTTGTTGTCTTGTTGACACCTTAGAATAAATGGCTATACATAAAATTAATTCATTATATCTTCGACTATTAAATTTCTCAATTATTATTTCATTTAATTATCAATTATATTCTCCTAATTATTTCATTTTATCCTTCTATTTCACAGACAAATACACACAAACGTGTAAAGATACATACATATAAACTAAAATGTTCCTTAGTATTAAGAAGAATTCATCAAAATACTTTACTTCAACAATTCAGTCCCACAAGGAAAACGAGTAAGAAAGAAATCTTTCAACTTTGGACTATAATTGGGTTGACGAATAGAAAAATATTCATTTGGATCAACAGCTCTGGTTAATTGAATAATAGTCCATTCTGGAAAGAAAAACAAATTATGTAGTTCAGATTTTTTTTTTTTAATTTTAATAACAAAGAAGTGAATAAATAAAGATGGGTCCACAGTGTCAACACAAAATAAGTTGATAAGATGAAAAATGGTTCTCATGAGCCTGCATTAGGAGGTAATACACAGTACATATAACTCACAAGGACCATTTTACGACTTATCAACTTATTTTCTTCAACTCTCTATAATTAATATAAACATTTTTTATGATACTTCAAGTGTGACTAAAAATAAACCAAAAGAGAAATTACTATTGGTTACAAAATAAATTACCTGAAGGCATTTCTTCTAAACGTTTTAGCATTCCATTAACCCCTTCTTTTGCAAATTGTGAACGGAAGGACAATCTTTCAGAAGAATCTGATTTTTCACTAGAAAAAAAACAGTAAAATAAAATTATTACTAACTAAATATTTCACTACAGTAGAGGATATTTAAAATTATAAATAATAATGATGAACATAAAATCAATGCAACGAAATATAATTGAAAACATACAAACTGAAATTTAACAGATATATATCTTATTATGGTTTATTAATTTCAATAATGAAATTATTGAAGAAAGTTAGTCGACAGTTCTACATATCATGGGTGATAAATATTCAGGATGCAGTCATTATACAGTTTTTATTGGAGCCGACGTTTCAACCCAAACATGTGGGTCATCATCAGGGCGTGTTTCGAGTACTGAAGGTATTCGCAGTATACTCAAACTGAAAATACTCGCATTTTACTTGAATACCTTTAGTGCTCGAAACACGCCCTGATGGTGAACCACATGTTTGTGTTGAAATGTCGGCACCAATAAAAACTTTATAATGACTGCATCCAGAATATTTACCACCCATAATAATGAAGGGCCTAACCAGATGATTAAGTCACTTCCGTGTACTTTTAGGGACACTCGAGCATATTTGGTATTCCATTCTTGGTGTGATCGTGAGATCTTATCACCTATAAAAGTGGAATGAAACTTGTACAGTAGTACCCAATAATGTAATACCACATTAAAACGAGCTGAATATTTTATCAGGCAGCTGGAAAGTTTCAGTGGCATGTTTCCACACTATGACTGGACGCGATTACCTTCAAAGCAATTTACACAGAATGTCATAGAAAGCCCTACATAGCATCGACCAGTATCTCCCATACAGTCTGACATTCTCAATAATTGAAATATTGGTTATCGGACAATGCTGCTTGGACAATACTATTATCACCAAGCTATATATGGCTGCCAGAAACCAAATGGTCTTTTTGTGAACAGCCTGGAAATAGTTAAAAACTATACAGAGTAATCTATTTTATTTACACATGAAAATGATTTATTCATCACTACAAAGATTGATATTAAAAACTTACCCTACCTCATTTCTTGCCTTATCCAATAATCCAAGCAACCTCAGACAAACTGCATGTGACTCCGAAAAATGATAACATGCTTCTAAATTATTCCCCTTGTGAAAGTATAATTCTCCGAGCTGTTTTTGAGACACTAAATCAAGGATTAAAAAAAAAAATTACATATTTCATTATAACTTAACTAAATTAAATAATATGGATTGTCATTACTAAATTAAATAATATGGATTGTTATTACTAAATTAAATAATATGGATTGTCATTACTATAATCATGATGGTGATGGATGGAGAATACAGAGTAGGAAGTCACTGAAATTGATATTTTTTTCTTAATTGATAATGGGTCAATTGCAAGGGGTAGACTCACCTGCATAATTATCTTTTCATCGCAACAAATTTTGATAGCCATAATAGGAATAGGAAAATAATTTTTTTATAGTTCAGTTTAACCACATAAGTAAATAGAGATAGTCAGTAGAATGGAAAAAATGTCAGAGCTAAAATAAAACTTCAAAACTTTTCCACAACAGATAAATAAGTTAACATCAAATAATCTATTTTACTTTCATCTTATTATAGTTTCAAACTATTACTACTGCTTTATCCAAGAAATTTTTATGTATCTTCATATAAAAGAAAATAAATCATATCAGAAACAAATAAACTTACTTGAATATAAGGGTCCATTGATAAGTCCCGGAGCATGCTCTAAGGTTTTATTTAGCTTATCAATAATACAAGTTGGATCCATTAACCCCTACTTTAACTTTTATAATTCAGAATTTTGTACCCAAGGCAGTTCGCTCCCAACTTGTAAGTTCCCGCCATAAATCGTTCTTCTATATCGATAGAAAAAATATTAACCAAACTATTTGTAAATTATTAGTCTTAAGCCTCGTTAATTTTCAAATTAATCGTTAATTTTCTCTTAAGTATATTGTGTCCCTATATATGATCCATAATCAATTGAGAGTTATTTGTTAAAAATGTAACTATCGATAGTAATAGAATAGTCGACTTACTACGATCCCTCTATCTGTTAAAAACACTAGTGGCGGTTAACGTGATTTGGAATTGATAAGACTACTCCAAGTTTTTCTTTAAAAGTCTAATGAAAACAAACTATCCTGATGAATTTCGCAGTTAGTCATTAATAATAATAGTTACCGCTATGGATATTACAAGATTGGGCATTGACATTAGTGATTGTTGTAATTACTTAGATTCTAACAAAGTGACAGAAAGAAAGGTAATGACACAATTATTTGTAATTACTTTTAAAAGTGGGGAATAAATTACTAATTTTTTTTCATACTTACTAGAAACGAGTTTTGGAACTGAAAGAACTCTTAGAAATTTCAAGGACTGTTGATTTACTGAATGAAAACTCAGAAAAAGATAGAGGACTGTGTTGGGACAATGTTTTTTCAGCAGTTCATAGGTGTTTGTTGAAGGTATCACAATTAAAATTTTACATATTATATCATATATGTGCCACTCAACCCATAGTCCACAATTTAGGAGTGGATTTCCATCCTGATCCTAGTTAACTTGTTAAGAGAAAGGATGTAACGCTGGTTAAAGGAGGGTTCTAGTTCCTAATCGCTATTCCAAGAAGGCAGCTGATTTAAGATCACAATATGTGTAATCATAGGGAATGCCTAAAGAAGCAGTATATTGACAGTCATGTTCATATATAAATATGATTGACCTAATAATAAATGTTTGTCTAAAATCCACAGAAAGCAATTTACAGAGGTAAACAGTGGTTTTCCAAGAATATTTATAAAATATAAATTCAATATTGCTTGCAGCAGTATTTCAATTTAATCACCATTATTTAATTCCTAGTATTGTAGCAAAGTGTTGATTATCATTGGGCAATACCATAATAATTATGTTAATTTAATAGGGAATAGTTTGTTTTTACGAACATCTAATAAATCACTGTTATTTAGGTAAGAAGCAGTAAACTTGATGAAGCCTTTAGCTGACTTTATGATTTAATATAACCTGTACCACTACAACCCATGAAGGATCTTCAGTTTAGTACTATTTCTTAGTCAACAGTTGTGTTAAGAGGTGAGATCCCACTCAACCGCCAGGTTTTTCCCCTTGATTAATTATTTAATTAAGGATACCCACTGTATTGAGGCTGGGTGTACCCAGGAGGATCGCCCAACGGCTGTTGAAACAGAATAACGTTCTGCATACTTGTGACTTAGCCGGTCGCCACGGAACCTTCCTTCTTATCTCGTGTAACCTCTTGTTATCTTTCCCTTGTGCGTTATTCAATTGTTTTCATTTTTTTATATTTTCTGTTCAAATGGATATAATTACATTTTGGGAATTGCCGTCTTCGGAAGAAGAAGCTGTCCAATATTTTCAGAAGTTTGGGATAATTCCAAAGGTGACATTGTGTGAAGAAAGTCATGAAATGGAGTTTAACAGGAAGACAAAATGGAGATGTTTTCGTAGGAGTTGCAAGAAAAACGTTCCTATAAGAAAAGGAACTGGTTATAGGGGTCAAGGATTACCTTTTTAAGAGCCTAAAAATTTACTTATGACTGGTCTCATAATTTAACAATTAAGTGGGGCACAGAGCAGCTGAAACTATACAACAAAACTGTAGTGAAGTGGAACAGATTTTTATGAGAGTTTTGTGCCCGTTACATGTTATACAGGTCGAATAAAAAAATTGGAGGGCCTGGAAAAGTGGTTGAAATTGACAAAAGTCTTTTTCTGAAAGAAAAAATCATGTGGGAAGAGTTCTTCCTGTACAATGGATGTTTGGTGGCGTTTGCCGAGAAACAAACGAGTGTTTTATGGTAAAGATAAAAGACAGAAAAGCAACAAATCTATTAGAATGTATTAAAAATAATATAGAAGAGAGAAGTACGATATATTCTGATTGTTGGAAAGGATACAACACCCAACAACTGAATGAAGCAAACTACAACCACGTCAAATAAATAAGATGTAATAAATATCAAATGAAATTTAAAATAAAATTATCTTATATGTTATATGTATAATGTGTTATATATGTTTTGTTTTTTCTCCAAAAATAAATAAAAGGTTATTATTACATTTCTTTTTGCTGTTTCAATTTCCATAAATATAAATACGAAGATAGGTATTATAAGTATCAGAATTATCAGAGTTCATGTTATAAAATTGGTGGATAGCAGTCTGTGGCGACCGGTGAAGTCATAAGCACCACTTTCAGTTATGAGCCAGGATTAGAATTTGGAACCTTAAGCATTGTACGATCAGTGCCCTACCTCTGAGATACTCCACTCCCCAAATACTTATTTTTTTGGAGGGAGGGAAGAATTCTGTCTTTAAGTGTTCTCACAGTGATCTTAAAATCAGCAGGATCTTGGAGTAGCGATTCAAATCTAATACCTAAAAGAGTATTGCTTGTCTATTATTCAAAGTTGTAAGTTTCGTTCTGTCAGTTTTTAAACTGTCAGAAACAGCATCTACGCATTTCCACCCAATCTTTTTGTTTAAAATACAAATTCAAGTGGGAACTCACTCCATATTGGTTTTATAATATAAATTTTTTAATCATATATGGCATAGAAACATTTTTCTTATTACTATATGAAAGAATTGAGTGACTAAGACAATAGTATCATCAATGACCATGATCAGGAGGATAAGTTTTTGACAGATGAATAAAACAATGATCTTGAAGTTGATAATCATTGTGATTTTGGTCAAATATTAACCCCAACTAGTAATATATAAACACTGTTTTTACCTTTATATGAATCTTAAAAGAAAGAGGCTTATATACTGAAAACATTTTTGTTAATAACTAATCCCTAACCATAACTTAATTACAATCCTAATTTCCTGAAAATAAAAAAAAATGGTGTAATTTGTTCTTCTATGTACTCTTCATAACTGGATCACACTTTGGACTATGGGTTACTGCAACTCTTATTTCATACCAATATCCCAAACATTTTATTCTTGTGTAATATTGATCACATTATGTGCATGCCTCTTTATATGAAACCTATTTCACCCAGTAGTAATAAACCTTTGTAATATAGGAAATAGACCGCCTTTTAGAAGATCTAACAAAGAAAGGTAAAATTCAACCAGCGACTGGACTTGCTATTTCATCTTGCTGTGGTCTGCAAGTATTGATAGTTTCTCAAGCTAACACAGGTGACTTAATTATACATTTAAATATTGGGAAAAAGAGGTTAAGTTAGCATACTTGCGTTTGCATCTCTTCATCTTTTACAATTAAATTAATTTCCATTTATGAAGTCTTCATTGTCCTTTTCTCCTTGTCTTAATCCCAATGCTTTCTCGCATATTGAATTATCATTGGCAACACAGAACTATGGTGATATGTCTGTTGAATACCTGTATCAAAAAAGGTTACACAAGAGAAAAAAACGGGAATACTAAAGCAATGAATTGGAGGCCATTGAAGAGCACAGAAACCTGAATAAAGTGAGGAAATTCTACCAAAAAATTAACGAAGGGCGCAAACCTTATCAACCAATAATTTCTTCATGCAGAGATGGAAATGGTAATCTTCTGACGGAGAAGACGGATATTCTAGATAGATGGAGAAGATATTTCGAAGACCTCCTTACTGAAGGATTGAGAGATAACAACATTGATGAGGATGCTGTAGCACCTGGTTATAGTGCCGATGATGATCTGGAACCACCAGATGATGAGGAAGCAATAGAGGAGGCAATAAGAAAGCTCAAAAACAACAAGACCCCAGGATTTGACGGATGGACTCCCAGGTGAACTATACCAAAATGGGGGAACCGAGCTATAAAAATCTTACGCGAGCTATTCTTGAGTATCTGGACAGAAGAGAGATTACCTAAGGATTAGAACAAGTCTGTGATATTCCCTATATACAAGAAAGGCGATAAACTTAATTGAAAATTATAGAGGTATTTCTCTGCTCTCCAGTGCTTACAAAGTTCTATCAAACGTGCTCTTCCAGAGACTTCTGCCGTTTGCAGAGCGAGAGATCGGCAAATACCAGTGTGGATTCAGAAGAGAAAAATCGATCACTGATCAGATATTCACCCTTAGAATGCTGCTGGAGAAAACGATAACTAAATGACTGCGACAAGGAGATGCTCTTGCATGCCTCCTATTTAACCTGGCACTCGAAAAAGCTGTGAGGGATTCTGGCATCCAGACTACTGGTACGCTATTCAATAAGACCGTAAAGCTATTTGCATATGCCGATGACATCGACATAATGGCCAGATAGATAAATGCTATGAAAGAAGCATTTGTCCTACTAGAAGCAGCAGCTGTAGGGTTAGGACTGATCGTTAATGAAGCAAAAACCAAATATATGTGTATTGGAGGTAGTGCTACCGCCTGAGAACAACACCTGGAGATCACGCACTATAAGTTCCAGAGAGTTAATGAGTTTGCATATCTGAGATCTCTGGTAAATAGAGAAAACAACGGAAACCTAGAGATCAAGAGAAGAATAGTAGCAGCAAACAAGTGCTATTTTTGCTTAAATAAGCATTTCAAAACTAAAATCATCTCTCGCGCACAAAGACACAGCTTTATAAAACGCTCATTCGTCCGGTACTGATGTATGGCTCTGAAGCCTGGACCATGACGCAAGGAGACGAGCGAGCCCTAGCATTATTTGAGCGGAAGGTACTCCGCCGAATCTATGGTCCTGTGCGCGATGAACAGAATTGGAGGATTAGACACAACACAGAGCTTTACAATCTATTCAAGGAGCCAGATATCATAAAGCTTTCAAGATTGCGATGGGCAGGGCATGTGGCGAGGATGAAAAATGATGAAATACCAAAAAAAACTATGGAGAGCAATGAACAAGACTCTAGGAAAGTAGGAAGCCCACGTCTGCGATGGCAGGATTGTGTGGCAAGGGATGCACGTGCACTGCTTGGTATACATTACTGGAAGCAGCTGCGCAGGATAGAGGCGCCTGGCAGAAACTTCTTGAGGAGGCCAAGACTCTTCATGAGTTGTAGTGCCGTGGAAGAAGAAGAGTACCTGTATCACAATATTCAACCCCAGTATTTCTCAAAATGAACAGCTCCTAAACCATATCACACCAAAAATGGCCCCTATTTTGTTAATACAGTTTGCTGGTTGCTATTTTTTCGTTCTAGATTCCCCAAAGTAACAGCATAGTTTTCTTCCAGTGATTAAACAATATAACCAAATCATAATTGGTGAGAAACATTCTTAAAGTACTCCATTGTAGGTTGCTTATCTATTAAACAAGTAGAAATTGATAATGTTTATTTTACAGAAATCATAAAGAGAAAAAACAGTAGTTAGTCTTTTTTATATTCTAATTTATAGTTGTGGGTCAACTTCTGTTTTCTCATCCGAGCAAGGACTAAAAAGAATCTCTCATAGCAAATAAAAGTTATAACCTAAAATAGATTTTACAGACTCAGAAACCCTAAAAGAAACTAGTAAAAAATGGAAATGCACCGATTGCGAATCAGTATTGTGTACATTGCCAGCCTTCGAGCCTGAGATTTGAGAACTATGATAGATCTACTGAGGGTGCCGGGCCGATGAAGTTAAGGAAATGAAGTCCAAAATTCAGGGTGGAACTATTGGAGAAACTATCTTTCGAGAATATGGATCGATTATTAAAAATTGAAACACTCCTAGAAGTGCAAAAACCCCATGCTTAGAAATTAACCATGGAAAGTAATATGTTAAAAACAAAAATATCCTAGCTGGAAAGTCGTCTGAATTTCACAGAACAGTTTCAACTGAAAAATACAATTGAAATTAGAGGAATTCCAGAGAAGCCCAATGAAACCATAAGTGGCATGATTCATAGCGTCGGAGTGGGTCTGGGTGTCAAGTTGAGTTCGGACATTCCTGGTCACGCTGTGACTCAAACTCGAGCAAGAGGAACCCCAGGTCCAATTATTGTAAGATTCGTCAGACATTCGGTGAGGGAGGGGATGAGCTGTTGTGGCAGTGAAAAGCAAAGAAAGATTTCTCTACACGACTTCTAAGCTGGTAAGAGAACGACTCACATCATGTTTATGTGAGTGAAGCCATGATGCCCACCTATTGGTTTATTATTGGTTAACCAGAAATAAATAAATAGGGTGACTGCAAAAATAAAATATGTCTGGTTTAGTAGGAATAAAATCTGTTGCAGACAATCAGATTAATACCCTCTAGTAGTTATAGGAAAACCAAGTGATCTGAACATTGTATATAAGTCATCTTGAGTTTGTAGTTAATTTATTTTTTTTAGCCAGAAATATTTTTATTATAACTTTTTTATTTACAGTTTTTTTTTTTCATTTTTGTATACATTTGTTCTCATCAGAAATATTTTTATTTTAATTTACAGTTTTTTTTATTTCTGTATAAATTATTTAAAAGTTTATTTGACTGCTTCTTGTAACCTCCCTTATATTCCCCCACTTCAACTACAGCTGTTTGGTGTATGGAGGGCTATCTGCCAGGTTAAAAATGAGACTGAAGAAACTCATAAACTGTTTCATACGATTTCAGAAGATTAACATCTTCTGAATCCAGGCGTTCACATATTTCATTCTGGTACACCGAGTTGAAGTGGCTTTATCCTACTTCCCCACGACAATTCCTTCTTGGTGTTTTCTTTTCCAAGTCCTCAAAACCCTCCCTACATCCTGGAACTCCTTACTCTACGTTCCTCTATCCACTCTCCTAATACCAGGTCTCAACTTATAGATTTATATATCCCCTCCCATAAAACTACTTCCTTCAAGTATAAAACTACTGTATTCAGCAAATGCTTTGTCATTTGTACTACCTCCTTTTGGAACTCTCTTCCTAACTCCATACGTCAACTAACAAATTCCTTCAAACAACTCCTGTTCCACCACCTACTCCACATTCAAACTTCCGGAAACATGTAAAATTACTTGCATATGCACAATTGCAATAACAATCAGCCGTTAATTAGTCTGTATTTTCTATTATTCTAAGCTAGACTAAGACCCATAAATTTGTAACTGTTATTATTCTCATGGGGCTTCCCATGAGTCCTAGAATAAAATTATTTTTTCATTTCATTTCATTACTGTAAATATGTATATAAATTATTAAATCGTTCTTAATTATTTTTACTTCATGTTTTTCAATTTTTTATTATCACTATTTAATTACTTTGTATTTTCGTTTATATATCTCTGAGGCTACTTAGCTCACATATCTGTCTTTCTGTATTATTCTGAAAGGAATTGTCCCACAATAAATAAAGTATTATTATTATTATTATTAAAAGCGTGAAATATGAAATGACGCAAACACATGAATTCTATATAATGACAGAATTGATGGAAAATTGGTATGATATAATAGAAATGACTGGCAGAAAAAAGGCAATTTATTAGAAATGATATTCCAGTACTCGTATAATAGGGGGTAGCATCGGACTGCTTTCTGCCAATGTTTATAACTTGAACACTGATAACTCTGATAAGCCACTGATAACATTTTCATATTCATATTTATTATATTGTATTGATATTGTTGAAATGTTCAACAAAAACAAAAACAAATGTAATAATAAAAATACTTTTATTTTATAAGATATATATTAAATAGACCAAAACATTATACATATGTAATTAAAAACATTACGAAAACATTGCAACATATATATATAAAAATAAATGAAATAATAAAAAACCACTTAAACATCATATGTACACATATGAATTTTAAAGCCGTTAAAAAAGAAATCATCGACCCCTCTAACCACGTTCCTTTCCTTACACCACTTATAGAAACGGTTTTGTTACAACTACGATACCATCTCCATTTAATCTTCCCGTCGAACTTCATTTGATGACCTTAATCACAATATTTCACCTTTGCAAATATCCGGGCGTCTTGAAAATATTTGATAGCCTCTTCTTCTGAAGACGGCGATTCCCACAATGTGACATCAATAATTAAATAACACTAACTCACAGCTTACACAAGGAAAAAAAAATAAACAAGGGAATAACTTAGGTTAGAGAAGATAAGGGAGGTAATGTGAAATAAGACTAGATAACAAGGGAGGTTTTGATGCTACCTGCTATTATAAAAGTACCGATTTTCCTGCCTGGATGAGGAAAGTTTATTTTAAAATCTACTGTACTTTCTAAATGATTCCTTTTTTT